TTTTGCATTTGGTATCAGTGTAGACTCGATACATATTGGAGTTTGCCGTCTACGGTTTTATTCAACATTTGTATTCGGTCTTCTTTCATCATTCTATCTCGTTTTCGCTGCAATTGACCGATTTTTTATTACTTCACCAAATGTCCTCGTTCGACAACGAAGTAATCGTCTTTGGGCTTATCGATCGATTAGTGGTGTTACAATTTTCATCTTTATCTTTCATGTTCATGTCTTTTTTCGTGTAAATGTTCAATCCAGTCCACTTGGCTTTAGCTACTGCTATTATGATTCTGGTAACTATTTACTTTTTATCTCTTATTATTCCATCATTGTCAGTGGTCTAACACCGCCTTTTCTGCTCACTATTTTTGCTTTCATGACATTGAGAAATATGCATCGTGTGAGAATTTATCCAGCTACTGCTGCAAATTCTAATATTCAATCGAAAGACCGTCAATTTGCTTTCATGCTACTTATTGAAATTTTTATATATGTTCTATTTTCATCTATACAACCAATTCTTCTTGTTTACTCAACAAATAGTCAATATCAACAGAAAAGCTTAGAACAACTGGCACTCGAAACATTTTTCTCAGTTATATCTGTAATTTTTAGTTATGTACCAATCTGTGTGAGTTTCTATACTAATGTTATCGTATCACAGGCATTTCGTCAACATCTGATACAAATCATTAATGTTTTAATACGATACTTATACTATCAGAACTGAAACAAGCTAAGCATTGTAACTATTCAGATACAACCGAGATACTGCTAACTATATGTAACATTGAATAATGACTATGATTTTAAAAATAAAATGCGATTTTTTAATCGCACAAAAAAAACTTATCTTCTGGCTAGGAATGCTATTAATTGTGCAGAACGCCACATGTTTGTTTCATTTTGTGGGTTGGCGGCCTATTTGTAGAGCAAACATTTATAAACATAGAAAAAGATCTCTAACGTTTCCTAGTACAATGAAAATTATAATTTTCCGATTCGTAGATCTTTTTCCTATGTTATATAACTGAAAAAGTTGAATTATAGAGCCGACAATTGAAACAAGGTCGTATTGGATTCGTGCAATTTCGAAAAGCTGTCTCGTATCAAGTAATATGATCCAACAGATTAATACTCAACTACTAGCTAGTTTATTTTTCAAAAATCATATATGTTTATGTGTGTGAACGAGAGAGAAAAAAAATACTTGATTGATATCAAAAGGAGAGTACTTTTGGAAAAAAAAGGAAAATAAAGGAAAGAAGAAAATGATACATAAATAGTCTTTCAAAAGTTCTAGACCTCGACAAAATTAGTTTATATATAGAGAGGAAATAATCTCTTATCGAGCTTGTCCATACGAGGGCTGACTATGAATACTCAGATTGCAAAAGCATAACCTTGGATAGCATATACTCTTTTAACCCTTTGATTACGAGATACATATACAATCAACTGAGCTTTTATACAGAATACAACTGTTACAATCTTCTCTCTTTTCGGTATATTTGTAGTGTTACACCGTCATTATATGATATTTCTGTACATTTACGTCAAGTAGAAAAGAAGGAATTGTCGATATAGAGGTCTATAAGAATTCCTATACTTTCTTTATTTAAAACCGTTCGAAGCCCTGCGAATCCCAAAAGAAATATGTAAAGTTGTGTAGAACTTCATAACCATTATGACCGTAGAAAATTTCGATTTCTGCTTAAGCTTTAATCTTACATAAGACTAGATATTCAATTTTATTAAATCTATACTATGATATGGAACCATAGGATGATTCATGGAGTTACACAAAAGATTTTACAATGTTTCTAGCAACTTTATTTGACTCTACAAGTACTGAATTGTAAAGTGTTAGTTGAAGTCTAACATAATTCATTGCGTTCCTTTGATGTACATACCTGATTTCAGACTTTTACAAGTAAATCCACATTTTGTGAAACACATTCTAAAAGAAGTGTTCCTCTTGTATAACAATAACGTCTTTTTTTAATATATGAACTACTTTCTTATTGCACTTCTGGCCAATAAAGTAAAAACATGATGATGAAGAAATGTCTTCCGAAATAGATAGAATAAAATAGTCTTCTGTGATTAGCAACAGTAGCTACGGTGTTTTTCATATTTTAATTACACAGAGATTGTGCTAATAGATTTTTATCATCTATGCAAAAAACCTTGTAACCAAAAGGCTAATATGAGTAATTAAAATATAAGAATATGATGATCAATTTGTCGAAATTATTAAGAAAAAGAAAAGCTTAATATTTGACAGAGATATATCTTATTTCACTAGCATGTACTTGTTCTTCACTATACTTTTCATTAGTTTGTCAAGTTTTTTAGGTATTTTATCAAATATTTTCTTTTTAATCACCACAAGAAATTTTTCTTCATTCTTTATGTATAGTCCTATATTAGCAACCTAAACCTATAGAATCATTCTCCTGCTATTTCCAGTATACCATACATCTGCTAATTTGACATGTTCATCATACGGTTAAATTCGACCATTCCGTAATTCATTAATAGTTCGCAATACAATCATTATTCTTTGTTTTCCGTTTGTACGTAGTATTTTCATGTATTTTAATTTATTTTTCGTATAGATACATTCAGCTAAAGATCATTCTCTGTCTATATATAAACTAATTTTGTCGAATTACAGAATTTCTGAATCACTCTTTAAATGAACCATAACAAGCTTCCGTGATGACCATTCTCAGTCAATTACCGATGACATACGTCTTAATACTATAGAAAAGAATTTATTAGTAAAAAGAAGATTTTCTTACAGAAATATTTTTTTTTATTTGTTGAAAATTATTTATTATGAGATGATACTTAAGGGTATACTCTTCTCCCCCCCCCCTCCCCACTTTATTTCTTGACCAAAAAGCCGATTTCGAGTTGTACATAAAGTATGATAATCTCAAGTGCCATGTGTAATTAGAGATATTATTCGATTCTAAATAAAGTACTGTTATGAAGTTACTAAATTTAGCAAATTTATTTTTTCATAGAAATTATATTGAAAGTCGTTTCTTTTACTTAGTGTAATGCAAAATACCAGTTGTCTCAGACCTGACTGCTTATGATTTGTCTGCAGCCTTATTCAATCGGACTGAAATTTTTACTGCAGATACTTGGAAGTATTCTCTAGATGAGTAATCTATCGTTTTCATGCTTGATTTTCCTATCCGAATTTATAGGATTCTGAAAGTGCACACCTACTTTTGACACCGATTTTTTCGTATTTCTCTCATAAAAAAAAGCGATTTTCGAAAACCCTCAAAAATATCTCTGAGATGTTGTCTTGGGTATCCTTCAAAAATTTGCAGCAAGATCGGATAAAATTTGATGAAGGTCATAATATATCAGGATGCAGGCCTATGAAAAATTCTCTTCAAATTTTTTTTCCAGTCCTACATGGAAAACAAAAGCGGGCGATGGTATTCTTAACTTGTTATTAATAAAATTATTTTACACAAACACGATATTGATAAAACTTCTTCTCATCAATTGTATCCTAATTATTGTTACTCAACCTTCGTTCTATGAGGGTTCATGTAAGTTTCTTCGTTTCTCTAACACACAAATGGTGCACTTTTGTATCATATTGAATCGATGTTCATTTATAGATCACATCCTCATAATATCACATTACTCGGTGAGAGTCATATTTCATTTCTTTCTTATTCGATGTAAACCTCTTTTTTCTGTAAATTGATTGATTTATATCAATATGTATTATAATACAAGGTGATAATATTATCGAATTGATTCGATTCGCTACTTCATTAAAAGTGATTATTCAAATGCAGCAACTTTATCATTGACTATATTATAGTCCTTAATGTGACATCAGATGCCCATGAGCAATATTTTTATTGATTATATTATCGTAGTTTTCTATAGAGTTATGTAATCATATATATATATATATATCAAGTCAATCTGATTTAGCAAAACAAATTATTTCAAGTAGTACAACAACTGAATTAGATATAAAACGTAGTGTCAATAGTCAATGTGTTTCTAATGAAAGTTCAAAAGGCCATTGAAAAATAAAATATATAAGTAATTGATGATGAATTTATTTTTTTCTGTGATGCAATAGAAAACTATGTCATTGCTTTATTCAACAATATATCATAATAATTCATCATTAATGTTGATGAATTATTATTCGAAGCACGTGTATTCTTTATTTATATAATCATTAGTTCATTGATATTTTTGTCTCAAATCAAAATTTAAAAAAAAATGAAAATATTTTATTAATACCAGAGGTAGTTAATTGAACAAACATGTTTTTTCTTCTAATCCAATTTATTCTCGTGTTGATTTGATTTTTTTTGAGTAACAATAACTAAAAGAATTGCCCCTTATGTGCTATTCAACCCCTAAACATTTTCATTATGATTTCATTGTTTTACTTGTTTGCCCAGTAGTGCTTCTATGTATGTGTTTACTTACTAGATTGGCTATTGCTGGTGCTCATATTAATAAAAAAAAGGAAGGAAGAATTTATTAGAAACTTCTATCTGTATCCTGAAGAGCTCTTCTTCTATTTTCATATTCTCTTGTTTCTTCCGCTCTGTATGTACCCTAGGCCCAAATATCGAGACAAAATATAACTACTACAAATGAGACTTATTTCATCAGAACGCGTGTAACCAATATACGAAAAAAGCCAAGTTGTACGTCACTTTTTCTTTTCTTCTTTATCACGTTGGTAACGACAAAAGAGAGTCAAAAAGAAAGAGAAAAAGTATTTCCGGAGTAGTCGTGACCGTCTTCTCTTTACCACAGACTACTCATCACCATCATTGCGACTGGATGCCTAAGGGACATACTTTGTTTAGATAGAAAAAAAGAAGAAATCGAGAGAGAAAAAGACAGGAGAGAGAAAAAAAAGAAGCATAAAAATTAGATGTCTCAATAGAATTATATTATTTTGAATCATACAGCAATTATTCATAATAATGTTCACAGTTCCTGAAGTTGGCGATAATATCGATGTTTCTTCTTCGATTGAAAAAACAATGTCATCAACTGAACCCCAAACGACTACAGAACCTCTACATTCACCTTCATTGATAACACCTTCCCAAGCAAATACTACAATAGAAAAACAAGAAAAAATTCCAATTAAAACAGAAGTTTCACCACCACCACCATCATCCTCATCATTAGCAGCAACTTCTAATCAACATCTTTCACGTCTAAGTCTTTTTCATCGAAATACGATTCATGTATGTGATCATATTGTTGATCGTGTGTAAGTATTTTTTTTTCATTTTTACTTTATTCTTTAGAATAATGAATAGTAATGTGTGATCTTATGATATATGTCTGTTCGGGTCAGTGCCCAAACAAACAGACAAAGAGTCAATAGAAGTTCATAATAGGCACGAACACAGGCATAATCGATGGTCCCTTGTGCTTTTTGATGCGAGAATGAATTAGTGAACTACACTAAGAGTAGTCTCATCGTCATGAGAATGTAGAATAAATGTCATTCATAGTAGTAAAAAGGCAGCAGAAAAAAAAAAACTTTCCTTTTATCTGTCACACAATATAATGAACTCTCCTCATTTGTATATGCTGTATGCCGGCTATACTCATTTCTAATAGAAAAGGTAAAAGTGTCAAGAGGAACTAACTACAATAGTTTGTATTCTATAGATTATTGTCATACAAGATAAATGTCTCTTATTCTTTTCATTTACTAATGGATGATGATGACTGAGAACAGTTGTTCGTCATACTGTGATGTTCAATCAAACTTGTGCATTGATAATATCATACTGTCTATATAGAATAATGTTATTTAAAAATTTAAGATAAAGATTTAGTGCAGGTATTTTCTCGTGAATAGATTCAGCTACATTAATTAATATATTATATATAAATGTTAGTCTTGTTCATTGCACCATATGTTTCTAACAATAATCGAATAAAAGTATTTTGCTCAGAGAAAATTATGGTTAAAGAGAATACATAAGAATAAATATAAGCACTTCTGGCAACTATAAGCATATTATAACACTGAAATAAGCGACAAGCTAAATTGATTCGGGGCAAACAGATATAAAGCATAAGAGTTATCCCGTTGGTATTCAACAGAAAGACAGATTACATCAGTATTATATCTAGAATAGTTCGGTCATTTTTACAATACAAATTGTTTCGATTTGCATTCTTTTTCTTTTTGTCTTATCAATTTTATCAAAAAATTCAGCAAAAATTCTATATTATGTATATTTATGAATATTCTTTCATGAGAGATCTACGACTTGTTGACAGGTGAGAAAAAGAAACGTTAATCGATCTATAATATGTAACTATTCCATATGTGTTTATTTGAAAATCATAGATATGCCTATTGGCAACCATCTGTGATGGTTACAGTAATCTCGATGATCAATTTATTCATCATCGTCACCATATAAAAAATGAATACAGAAAGAAGGAAATAATAATAATAACAAATAACTGACATGTATATAGACAGATTGAATTGATAGAAAGATATAGAAAATGAAAATTATGTTTTAATACAATTGTGGGTGAAGACTAAACTCCCATTTATATATGTCAATGAATTAAAAGTTCACAAAATATTTATCTTTTATTAAATATTATTTTTCAAGGATATATATTCTTAATTCGTATCTTATCATGAATAATAATCTCATGTTTTCAACCAATAAAAAACATAGACTATAAAAAATACATTTACGTTGTATCGTGATGGCATTTAATAGTAACTACTTGATACTAGTAGAAGAAACAAAACTAAAGAAAGAAATTTGTTATATATTCGGTATTAATTCATTATTGATTATTATTTATAAATTATATATACGGACATTTTAATAAGTTATCACAAAACAGTGATCTTCAGAGAATTTACGTGCCAGACAACACATGTTTGAAATAGAATAAGATATCAATCTATTCATATAACCTTGATTATTGTCATAATTCAATAGTTGACAAACCTTATATGTATACATGTAGCCTTGGCATTCCATTAGACATCAAGATGATAGACAGAAGAAGCAGAACATCGAACTACTACTCTTATTATGACATCCAACTTTATATCTTTCAGATACCTTTCTCTTTATGATATGCCATTTTGATTTCATCTCGTACATCAAAGTCAATATTTTTATTGCATCGAATTTTTATAACTATTAGTTAATTATTTTGTTTTCAATAACTTTAATGACTATTTAGTTATCAATCTTAAGTTGTCAACAACTTTCTTTTTTTTTTTTTCGTTATGTATTTTCTCTTTGTTGTATGTACACATAGTAGGAATATAGAAATACAGTCTTTTTCTTTTCTTAGTTCTCATGAGTGTTCTTGTTTTTCAATAATACCTAGAAGAAAAATGAGAGATAAGAAACAACATGTTGTCATGATAGCTATGTAATATTTCTTTTTTTGTGGTGTTTATCGGCATTGATTAGAAAGATGGAGAAAATTCAAGGACTATCGACTATTGTGTGATTGATATGCAACAACGAAATATCTAGGGAATATAAATAAACAGGTAACATGAAAGACATTAAATTCCTACTGAGAAATCTTATCAATAGAATGATATTCGTTTTGTGAATCATTAAATCTATGTCTCGACTCATATCTAACTAACTAGATGACACATTGACAAAGGTTATTTTTGTTCGAATAGATGGATTAAACTAACATAACTCTCAACGGTGGTACTCGATATTTATATTTAGTTAGCGAAGAAAAGGACATGGATAATGATCATCGATATGTTCTTATCTGTTATTTTTTGAATATTTCACCATTCTTCATAAGAAGAAAAATAGAAGTGTAATTTTAATTTCTTGTCTTTTTCTTCTTTCTCATTCATATCGCAACACATACTAGCACGATTACACAAATATATAAAAAAAAAGCATCTGTAAAAAGAAAAAAAAAGAGGATAAGAAAACGAGAGAACGTAAAGTACAGTGTACATGTATGTTCGAATTTGTAGAGAGAAGAAAAAAGACGAGAGCCCTGTCTCGTTTGTCTTCATTAAACCGCACATTTATTTGTGCAATCCATATTACACGCGTGTCATGTCAGCATTAGTAAAAACTAATAATATGGAAGAAACAACAAAAGTCAAAGAACCATCATCAAAAAAGATGGAAGAAAATACCGATGAACAAATCAGATTATCGAATCTTACTATGCAGTCTTCTTCTTATTCTAGTACAGAACATCAACAACATCATTCAGCTCCACCATTACATAATCAACAAGCAAAAATAGGATTAGATGCTATTCATGAAAACGGAGAATATTCTTCGAAAAACGAACAACAACAAAATTCAACAAATAATCGTTTTCCTCGTTCAAGTACAGTTCCATATCCAGCCTATGCAACATTAAGAACAAATGATGTAAACTATATTTCTCCTTCACAGTATTATTACACCGATAATGCAGCATTTATTCATGGAACTGTTTCACCTGCACAATTGAATACTTATTTTAATAGTCGACAACCACTTTCATTAATTAATAATAATTTCCAACCAATTTCACCTCATCATCATCAATATAGCACTCGACCTGTTGATATACTTAAACCAACTTTTTTAATTGTACCAAAAGCAACTGAACAAAAATTGGCTGCTCAATTATCCGCATCAAATTCACCAATACTAACTACTAATCGTAAAATAAAATCAACGACGAAAAAAGAAGATACTAAAAATCAACAAAAAACAACTACGGCAATTGAACAATCATCACCAACTGTTCGTAGTGTTGAAGTTCAAACAAATAATGAATCACCGACAAGAACAACAATGGATATTGGACATCAACATATTGGTCTTCTTGCTACGCCTAATCCATCACCATATGTTCACTTTGTTAATGTAACTTATCCAATACAATCAACACCATTTTCACATGAGGGTCCACCTGAAACGTCAATAATACAAGATGAATTTACTAATGTAAATGATTATAATCACCCATCAGCTAGTATTCGATCAATGCCAAATATAGCTCTTACACAAGGTAAACATTTCGAATTAAAAATCGAAAGACACATGTTTTCACTAAAATAATATGCACATTGAATCTCCACCCACTGGTCTATTACTTTTTTTTTTTATCTGATTATCTTCGTCAATATTACATCATAGACAAGGTTTCTCAACCGTTCGTCAATCATTAGCCGTATGATTATATATCCATATCCTGTTACTTTTTCTAACAGTCGTCTCATAAACATTCTTCTTCCGTATATGACCTAATCATTAGTAAAGAGTATTTTTTTCTTCTCTTTCTTTTTATAGTCTCGCCTCATCATTGGCATGGCTCACCAATTCTACGTCATTATCATCCTTCTCAACAACCAATTGATGAACAGCAACAGCAACAACAGATATTAACCAGTACTCAATCGAGTGGCGTTCGATCAGCAACAGTACCTCAAATGGCAAAACCAACAAATAGTCGAACTCGTATTGAAACGGGAGAAACGGATGAATCAAGTGTCGCATCATTTGATTTTACTCATACAGATCTTGTTGATATGCCAGGTTCATGGCGTTATCAATCAGTACCTGTGAGAACTGTAGTACGACGACATCGTGCACCAATACCACAAGCATTTCTTGATTCACAACAATATGTTAGTGATTCTGAACAAGTTGTACGTTCATCTAGTTATCGTCAACAACAATTATTTGGTTCTATACCAACAATTAATAGGTAATTAAAAGAAAAAAACTTATTTTAAATATAATTTTTAATATTTATTTAAATAAGACCATTTGATTCAATTCAAAGTCAACAACCAATTCAATATTTTCCATCAATTCGTTTAAATGAAAAAGATGTATTAAAAATTGCTTCATTCTATAAAAGTATTGGTACACTTGTATATGTTGCTCATAGTATAGCCACACTATATACATCTGATTTTGATGCTATGGCTAATTTAAAAGATTGGAAAAAACTTTATACAGGTGTACCAATATGGTTATTTAATACTGGAATGAATCCAAAAAGGTAAATGATTTAATAAATAGATTTTCACGAAAAAAAACAACGATTGTTTTTAGAGCTCGTTGTATTCGTTTAGTAATCTCAGAACTTGGTTCAAGTTTTACACTTTGGGATACAATTGTTAATGGTGCATCAGATGTACGTTTACCAAAATCACGTCATATAACATTAAAATCACTTGAAACAGGTACAATACTTGCATTAAAATTTGATGATGCAAATGCAACAGATGAGTTTCATCAATATTTTGTTAAATTATCATGTGATCCACGTAATGCGGATTTATTTGATGTGTTTAATGCAAAACGACGTCGACCTGTTTTTATTTTACATAAAAGAAAAATAAAAAAATCAGCTATTTCAAAACCATCACATTTTAATCATATAACAAAAGTTGATGAACATGATCGAGATTCATTATATACATATTCGGTGCTTGTCGATGATGGAACTATTCTTTCTTAGAAGAAAAACAAAACTAACCTATGAACATTTTTCTTTTTATCCTGTTTATATATGTGTGTGTGTCCTTCTTTTATGTTCGTATTGTAATGTCTATTCTTATGTTTAATATCTGTGGCACTTTTTTACCATATAATTCATAAGTAAACATTTATATAAGGAGAAGAAAATAATCCTAAAATGTTTCATTAATAATAAGATGATGCATTTTGATTTTTAATATATGAATGAAAACTCATTCGGGAAATGAACAGAAGAATTATTTTGATTAATTTGAATAAGTAATAATTCTATTTTGTTTCCTAATGACATACAAATACATTGTGACAGATGAAATGAAATAAGAAAATGATCAATATTTCTTTTGATGTAGACTTTTTTTTTTTAATTATAAATTAAATGTCTTTTATAGTTACATAGATAAATGAGATTTTCATATCTCAATTAAATATTTGTTTAAAATTGCTTGATGTATGTCAAAAAAATCTCATCAACAAACAGAGAATCTCATTTAAGACATAAAAATCATCATGCATGAAATATTTTAAATACTAAAAATTCTAAAGTTGAAATGCATCAAAAAAAAAAACATATTTTTCTCTTGATAATCATATTGGACAAATATAGTAACAAAAAATTATCCAAAATATAGCACAAATAAAGAATTGAATTGACTATTAGCACTTTTTTTAAGCATTCGTTTTTTGTGAAATGTCAAAAAGTGTGTTTTTTTTTTATACATATTTGCATACACTGCACATTGGTTATGTCTCTTATTCAGACTATTAATGTCCTCCTTCAGATCGTCGATAACATATTTGTGTAATATATTTATATATACATAATTTAAATAATAATTCTTTATTCCAAAATAATATTAACCTTGATTGTAACGGTCTTATAACAAAAACTTTGCTCCTTTTTTCAATCCCATGAAAGCTACTTATGAAAACTAAAAACAAATAATTAACATCAGGATTATGCATTCTTTACAAAGATGTGTTCACGATAGCAGTGTTACTTTATAAGATAAACATAAATACAATCTTTTTATACATAAAATAACGATAAATGAATTCTTTATTCTCAAAAATAAAGATAAAATGAAGAAAGATTTCTTTCTATGATAGGTAAATAAAGGATGCGTCAATTCGTAGAACATGATGTCAAAGATGACATGTTTTTTTTTTATTAAGAATGTATTTCCTGTGGATTGTTTATATTAACCGTGGTTGCTCTATCCGATGCTGTAGTCAATATACAGAAAAATACCAAACAAACGTTTTGAAAGTGGTCAAAGACTTGCACATTTTAGTTTTTTTCGACTAATTTCAACTTATTTCGAGACTTGCGTTTTGTATTAGGTAAAACCTAAGAATCGCTTTGGAAAGAGTGTTAAAAACTGATCACAATTGTCATGACGAATCACTAGGATCCCGGTAATTCTCAATACTTATGAGGGAAGATCCTCAGCTGATCAATGTCTTTTGCGTTGAGACTATGCGCATTATGTAGGTGCAAAAGAGTTATGAATACTCTGAAAAAGTTCGGGCTGCTACCTTATTGCTACGGAGATACTGCACTTTTACGGTATGTTTTTAAATGAAAGCTGTGGTTCCCCTCAGAAACACCAGAAAAAATGATTTTCGAATTTCGAATTTCGACTTGAAACTTTACATATAAACAGACCTTTCCGAGAATAGTATTTTGTAAAAGTTTTAGATCTTTTTACTGTTGTTATCGGTAGATACAACTATGATAATGTCATTCAGATAAACCAAAAGATTTGATGTTGTCATTTCAGGATAAGAACAAATAGAAAGACCTGAAAGTTTCATAAAATACTATTCTCGGTAAGGTCTGTTTATATGTAAAGTTTCAAGTCGAAATTCGAAAATCATTTTTTTCAGTGTTCCTGAGGGGGACCACAGCTTTCATTTAAAAACATACCGTAAAAGTGTAGTATCTCCGTGGCAATAAGCTAGCAGCTCGAACTTTTTTCAGGGTATTCATAACTCTTTTGTACCTACATAATGTACATAGCCTCGACGCAAAAGCGATTGATCAGTTGGGAGATCTTCCCTCGTTAGCAGGTATTTTTCTAAGCAAGGATAAACCAATACCTTGAATTTCGAATCAGAGTTTAGAATATTTCCAGTATTGAGAATTACCAGGATCCTGCCGATTCTTCATGTCAGTTGTAATCAGTTTTGGATATTCTTTCCAAAACTATTCTTAGATTTTGCCTTATGCAAAACAAAAGTCTTAAAATAAGTTGGAATTGATCGAAAAAAGTAAAGAATGCAATTTTTCGACTAGTTCCAAAAACTTTGCTTTGTATTGCATAAACTTCGATTACAGCTTCAGATAGAGCAACCATGGTCGATATAAACAATCCACAGGAAATACATTCTTAATAAGAAAAAAAAATGTCATCTCTGACATCATGTTCTAAGCTTTGATGCATCTCTAAGATAAATAGACAACTTTCTAGTATAACAACAGTCCATGTCATCAATCCTATGTCAATTTTGACGATTAATCGCAACTAGAGACGGTATTTCCAAAAAGACGTCAAAATCATTTACATATAAATTATCCGTATATTTTTTATTTTTGAAAGCAAGAAAAACTAAATTTTTATGATTTTGTCTTTTAAAAAATATTTTCAGTATTTCCATGACATTATATCTGATAGCCACTTCAGACTGATTCAGACATGAACATTATATTTTTTCAGCTCTTGTATAATCCATCTTAGAATTTCAGAAAAAAAATTTTAATCAGTTGTAATTTCGACGATAGTTATTATTTTACACAATAAACTATATACTTTTTTTTATTTAGAGTAATATCAACTTTAATATCATCGATAAATATAATTTTTAAAAAAATTATATTATTATATTTTTACAAGGAGAAAGAAAAAAATTTATCCTTCTCACTCAGAAGAAGCTCATGAGAATATAACGATAAACGATGTCATACACGAAAGTTTACAATACTTATAATTCTCGTACTAGATTCCTAATAAGCTTCCCAGGCGGTGCCTGTCGTGACTCCTTAAAGATTCTCTTATGAAACACTGACTAGAATTATTCATTCAATAGTGACATGAGAAGGTATGTTACTGAATATTATTTTTTTATCACGAGCATCACTTCGATATGTGATATTATTAAAAAATGAAGTTGATGCATGCGAATATATATACAAGCAACTTTTCCGTATATTTNTTAGTTTGTTGGATAATCGAAAAGAAAAAAAATTAAATGAATTTTTTTATTGAATTAATTTTCATGTCAAATTTTACATCAACCACCAGAGAACACTCACGAAACACTAAATACTTCAAGGCAAGGATCTTACTGTCATACTCATATCCCGGTACGAGTACTATTGATGAGTATTTTTACTAGGAATCGATCCAACATCAATGAGAATATTCTGCGTGCCGCTATGTTCAACACTCTGTTATTAATCGTTGTAGGAATCAGATTTGTAAACTTGAAATTGTAAGTTTATTAATCAGAATTGTAATACAGAATTTACGTACAAGCTCTGGTCGTATAAAATTTGACATGAAAATTAATTCAATAAAAAAATTCATTTAATTTTTTTTCTTTTCGATTATCCAACAAACTAATCGACTGTTTACGATCGCTTTTATATTCTTTATTGAACTTAAATATATCGCATTAGTTTACGTTGGCATTAGTACTGATCTGAACCAGAGCTGCCAACAGGCCAGTTTTTTTCAGCTTGGCCAGGCCTGGTCGCCTGGCCTGACCAGACCAGTACGAATAGCAGGCCAGGCTAAGAATAAGATGGTTGGCCTGAGCCTGGCCTGGTCCGCAGGCTCTTGAGAGAACAGAACAAATTTATCAAATATTTTACTACTTTCATGGATAAAATTGTACAATGTGCATCAGACTTCTTTTCATTATCTCACCCTAGTCGTGATCGCATATTTCTCTTCAATTAAGATGATCAAATTGCGAACTTTTAAAAGAAATAGAAAATCAAAAGATACACTGCTGAAAAAAATAGTCTTGCTTCTGCAGACAGTTATTCCTTCAAAGCCATTTTACTTTTATCAGGATTGTTCCACAACAGTGAAAAACATATACTGTAATAAATATGACATAAAAATTGAAAAATAGCAAACAGTATTAATCTAAGTCAGAAATGTTTGCTGCTTCTATTTGTTTGTTGAATGATGCTTGTTGAATTTTATTATTTGTCAATTTCATTTTGTATAAGAATACATTATCCTTCCCTATTGAGACACATTCTAACTTAATCATAAGTCAGCATAAAAATACGAAAACAAGCAAATTAGTTTACAAGAATCATCTATCCTAAAGAAAAAATATAGCCTTTTGAGTTGATGTAAACTCTTGGAGTTAGGTACCACTTTGAATCTTCATTGTTAATACTGAGACAGAATGGATGAGACAATTGAATATCACTAATGATCATCATTGTCATTCATTGCAGGACATAGTGAGGTCACACATTCACAATTCTGTTTACAAAAAGACTCGCATAAAACATTGAAAATCGAGGCGTGCAACAGGTGTTTGTTTTAAAATTAAATCATGTCATTTTAAAATTTGTTATGAATTTTAAAATAAAAATTAAACTGCAATCACTTTGTCTAAGTATTTTAAATCTGCAATGCCACTTCGAATCGGAATGGATCAATGACCAAAAATATTCGACTACATATCGTTCAGGCCACAAGCTTCGGCCTGGCCTGGTAGCCTGGTCTGGCAGGCTGGCAGCTCTGATCTGAACTCAAGTTTGAAAACATATATTGTTGCGGGAAGATCCTATTTTTTTAATGTTTTTAATTACAAGAATAAAGAATGTTGCTCGAATACAAAACAAATAATTTTACCAATACAATCTTTTACCAACAAAAAAGGAATATAGATATTTTACTTGATTTTTCGGTCTTTGTCTTTGTTTATGAGTATTAATTTAAAATAATAACCAGAAAAATAATTATATTGCTTCTTATTGATTAAAATATTGTTCTTGTTCATCGATGTGAAGCTAGCACGACGACTAATCAGGACCTCTCTTCCACTCGACCAATCAGCGCTCAAGCATAATTTACCATTCCTAGTCCCTAAATTACCACAGAAAACTTCCTTATGCTAGCTTGTTGCGCTGTGCTAGCTTCTGATCGATATATTGTTCTAGGAGTGTCTATGATTAATCAGAACTTTTTTTAATTTTTCGATTAAATTATTCTCATTTTAAAAAAAATCTTATAGGTCAAGCTGTTCATTTATGAAATATATCCACATCATCATAAAACGTTATTGTAAGGTTCAATAAATGATCAATTACTATAATAATCATACAAAGAAAAGTCGATGAAGCTTTATAAAAAATCAAATTATTTTTATGCAAATATAATTTTCACCTTGAAATGCATTTACGTATTTCAATATGAAAAAAAGAGCATATTTTTATTTTTTTATCTCTGATTGGTTTGACATGAATAACAAATTAGAAATGCAATTTTAACTAGATGACTGTAACATAGCAACACAAATAGTCAATGACAAGAGGCAATCATCATTGATATTTTTCTAATCAAGTTTTATTTTCTTTTGCATTTACGCCAATCATTTATAATCATCGTGTTTTTAGCCAGCCAGGCATCGATAAAAGAAAAACATAAAATGTTGCCTATGTGACGTCAGTACCACGTTCTGTTGCTCTCCTTTTTACACATTATGCAACATATATTTAACTATTCTGTTCTCGCCGACGACGGGAATATATTTTATTTTCTTCTTTTTTTTTTAAACATTGTGTTACTTTGGTAAAGCTGAATAACAGAGAAAAATATGGCTGATATACCATCGAGTTTTCTTTGTCCAATAACGCATGAATTAATGACTGATCCAGTTATCGATCCCGATGGGAATAGTTATGAACGTTCAGCAATTGAAGATTGGCTTAGACAACATTCAACTTCGCCTATTGTAAGTTTACTTTGAAATAACAAAAATATTTTCTTGTTCAATAATTGAATTGCTAGACTCGTACTACTCTTCATCTTAATGATCTTCGTCCAAATCGTGCATTACGTGAAAGTATTGAAGAATATCGAAGTAAACAATCATCATCCAATATTACTACAAAGACAAAACCTATCACTATTGTTACTAATCAATCATTTGATTTAAAAGTAACAAGTAGTTGGTTAAATGATTTTGCTCATATATCGATTCAACCACCAGAAGGTATTGGCATTCGTGCTCCATGTGATATATGTTGTGTTGTTGATACATCGGGTTCAATGGGAACTGAAGTTGAAATTCAAGGAGTATCAAATGATAGAGAAAAATATGGTTTATCACAATTAGATCTTGTTAAGCATGCATTGAAAACAATAATTCATTCATTAACACAAAATGATCGTTTAGCAATTGTTTCATTTGCAAATAGTGCAACAGTTTTATTTACGTTACATCAAATGGATGATGATGGTCGTTCAAGTGCATTAGCTGCTCTTGAAAGACTTGATGATAATGGACAAACAAATTTATGGGATGGATTAAGAGCCGGTTTAAAAGTATTAGCGGAAGGACAGCGAACAACAGAAAGTAATGTTGCATTATTTTTACTTACAGATGGTTGTCCAAATGTTGAACCACCACGTGGACATCTACCAACATTAGCTTCATATAAAAATAAAACTAATTTTACATGTTCAATAAATACATTTGGTTTTGGATACAATTTAGAGAGTAAATTATTAGAAGATCTTGCTCAAATGGGTAATTGTGGTTCATATGCATTTATACCGGACGGATCATTTGTTGGTACAATATTTGTTAATGCTATTGCAAATTTATTAACAACAGCAGCAACAAATTTACAACTATCAATTGGAGATATTCGACCAGCAATTGATTCATCATCGAGCTATATTTGTAATTATTCAACAGATACATCAAATCATAAGGTATAAATAGAATTTATTGATTCATATAACTATTTTGCTAATATGTTTAAAAAAGCATCGCTACTATGTAAAAAAAACACCGGAACTTTAATCCTTTAGTCTCATAGTTTGACCACAAATGGAGCATGTTAAATTCTGATTGCAAAGATTTGATTAGTTTTCATGCGGAGGAGCTAACAAGTCTGCATAGATTTTTTTTTTCGAACAAGGATATCTCAACATTGAATGTTAGATTCCTCTTTCGACACCTCAATACTGCTTCTATCACCAATAAAAATTTCATGTCAAACGGTTTTAGTTTGCTTGATTTATGAAGTCATCTTACTGAGTAATTTCCATATAAGACTTGATGGTCATTTTCGAATAGTGATAAATATGCTCGGCTAATCTTAATCATTTGCCTTGAAATTTTCTTCAATGAGTGTCTTACTCTAGTCAAGCTTTCACACAAAATTTCACGATCACAGATATCGATAGAGACGATGTCTATGCCGAGACCATCCAAGACAATGGAGACTGCTCTACGCCGTAAGACTACAGCCAATTGAAGTACCTTGTCTGTGACAAAATATAAACATGCAAGTCTTTATTTGTTAATAAGAAAATGAAGGTTATTATATAAAAATAGTGGAAAACTAGGAAAGTATAAAAAATGCCTCTGCTAGAACTCTAGAGAAAAAAATTAGTGTTTCATCGTAAATCCTTTGGATAAAGAGTCTACCAATCTTGGGTTCTGGCTTGAGATTAAAGTTTGTTAAGCTATTGTAGAATGTTAAATTTAATTTTTGAAAAGTCCAAAAAATTAGTTCGGAAGGGAAAATTTTCCGTACATTTTTGTATTTTCACTATTGTGATTTGAAACCAAAAGTTGGAATAGTTCTTTATACATCAGCTTGCAGATCAGATGCTACCCTATGAAACATACACTGTTTGAAGTTTTGGTTGTCTTTTGACAAGGTACCTTAATTTTCGTTTTTTTTTTGTAAAACCTCATTTTTGAAAAATCAACAACCGTTTTATGCTGAAAGAGACTCTTGAAAAAATACAAATGGTTTCATTTGGATAAGAGCTCAAGCTTACTTGAATATCAAAGTTTGTAGAAAAATGTCCTTTCTACAAAATGTTCGACTCTGGCAAATGTTAGCATGTTCGAAAAAGGACTTATAGGATAAACAAAAACCTAATAAACATTTCTAGATGAAAATAATACTTCCATTAAATCAATTTTGTTAAGAATAATGAGAGATATTTATTCAAATAGCTGCGAAAAATATAAATCCATGGGTCTACGAAACTTGCGCACGACGAAACTTGCGCACGGAAACTTGCGCACGGAAATTTGCGCACGACGAAACTTACGCACGGAAACTTGCGCACGGGGAAACTTGCGCACTGCAAAATGCGCACGCACAACTTGCGCACGAGATGAAAATTCATAGTAATTNGATTAAAGGAAGAACAACAGGTTCCGAAAATAGCTAGAAAATTGATGAAATGATTCTCCAACAGCCCCAAAGCTGTCGATTTCGACATATTAACTTATACATTCCTTTGATGTGCATATATTAACAGAAGTCTTCATCAAAGGTACAGCTTTCAATTATGAGAATAAATTATATTAACTTTTTACTCAGTTTATTTTCGACTATATTCAATTAAAAACTAATCTAGAAACTGACAAAAAAAGAATCAAAATTTATTTTTATCATTAAGTATTGATCTCTACACTATCAAATTGAAAAATTCCTTCGCTAATGTATTTATACAGAAAACTAATATAATGTTATTGATTCTTTTTCAGCGAGAGTCTCGCCAAATAGTTTTAGTGAATAAAATATACGGAATAAACTAGGATTAAATAGATCAATAGAAATAATAAAATATGATAATGCTCATTAATTGCATTGCATAGATTTTAAAACCAATCAAATTCTTCATTTGAATTTTCACTAAGTTTAGCATGTACAGCAACTTGTTCTGCTTTTCCATGAGTCTCTTTTTTCCATCCAACATGATAAACACGAGCAGCTGCACACTTTTTATCAGGTAAGTCAACCTATTATCAATTTACAATTTATTAATATGAATAATAATCAGTTGTAATCATATGTAATACCTTGAAAAAATAATTCATTCCAGCTACAACTTGTGTAGCTACTTGAACTGGTTTAAGCTTATGACTTGTGGGTACCTTAAATTGATCTTGAATTTTTTTTCCAAATGTTTTTTGTACTATTGGAACAAATTCATCAATTTCACTTGAAGCAAGAATAGATTCTTACCATGTCCCAAATTTTTAAATCTTCTTCAGTTACTGGTCGAGGTTTACTGATACCACCACATATGACAAGTCTATAATAGATCTCTACACAATAGAAATAGTTAAATTCTTAAAAATTGTCTTACTCAAATACAATGGGTTGATTTTTCGTAACAGGATTGCTTTCAGATGACATACTTGAAAAATCTAGAGCTAAGTGATAAGGATGTTTTCAATGATTATATATGATCAAAGGTCAATACGGAAACATGAAAAAAACAAGCTTGATGAATAAATCCTATGAATATGGCAAAATATAAATACTTGTACCTATTTGTACATGAAATATATGGTGGAGTGTTTCTTTTTTCTTTCCCTATTTACAATGAAAACAATAACACTAACTTATGTTTATTTTGATGTGGCGAATGCGAAATTTGTTTCTTATAATTTATATATAGATGTATTATTATAGCACTTGATTATATTTTCCTTTTCTTTCCTGGAGAACAAACATCTTATTATTATTATTTAGGCTTATTTATTTGAGCAGTTGTTCTTAGTTCTTGAATTTAAATATATCAAATATATATTAATAAACTATTTATGAATAGATCAAAGTATATTTTTATATTGTGGATCACACAAAAAACTTGAGAAAAAGTTAACAATGGTTTTTTTGTTTAATGGTTTATCAATGAAACTAATAACTGTAATAGATGAATCATAAGCTTATGAAGAACATTAAACTATTGATAAGTGGTGATATTTCTATTTTATTTGATGGCATAATGAAGAGTGGATCTGCCGGAGGGCCTTCCTTCCACGGACAGTCCTCTTACTGTACCACCCGGACAAACAAAACAGTTAATAATTGCTATGATTTATCCTATTTCGGATGGACTTTTTTGACAAAGCGTGCAGCACTGTTTTATCACCCACGATTTTGTGGTCATGCTACTATATAATGTTGACTATAGACCAATTATTAATTCCAATTTTTTTACTTGGAAACTAAGTTTGTGTCATGACGCAATGATTTTCTTGATAGGTATAATAATAGATTCATAGATAAAGTGCACTTAGTTGCAGTACACATAAGACAAGTGATGGACAATTGAACCAGATCAAATTTAAAAGAGACTTTCTGAATATGAAATATCTTTTAATGTACTAATATGTTCTCTCTATACAGAACGGATTATATACAGCTGAATTTCTGAGAAACCGAAAACATACACCGATATTCCATGCGCATACATCTGATAATCTTTCATAGGTACCTTCGAAAGCACTTTTTACAACTTTGTCATAGTCACCCATCAGCAAAAATAACGATATTTAAGTGTTACATCAAGCAAATATGAATACCAAGTTGTGAATAAATTTGTTTTAGCGAATCATTCATAATGTCCTCAACTGACTCGTCTAATACCCAAACAAGTCACATAATCACAAGATTCCATGTGAAAATGTCATGTATATTTCTTCCCAAAAATAAAAGAAACATTTCCAATGATTATAGCTTCGTCAAAAATATGCGATCACGAATGTCTGAAAGTGAAATAATGATTGATCACCAGACTACTTTCTGCATTTTGTTTCTCTTAAAAAGTTTCATCGAGTTCTCACTTCCTTCTTGTCCAAATCCACTCATTTGAAGGTAGAATATGGTAAGTGTTTGTGTGAAAAATCGAGATATTCAAGAGCTAAATGATGCAGTTAACCGGCAGTAGTTTGATCCTTAAACAGTCGACTATCTTGTGACTATCACTGTAGCGCGGCATACCAATGATTGTTCTTGAACCGATCATTAACTATCGTTATACCGTCCGTTGTGCGACGAAACGTGTAACATGGGATTGACAGATGCCATAATTATTGGAAAAAGAATGAAGCAGTTTTTATCGAAACCATTATTCGGATAACGGATTTGTGTCTTTCTTCTACCTATAGAAAAAAAAAGATTGAAACTGGATATTGAAATTCTATTTTTTAAATTTGTTTTCTGATTGATCTAGCGATTTACTGCGTCTATGTCATATTGAAATGTTTATTTCTACTAGAGGAGATGCCTGATCCCACATATGTACTTCATGCAAAATTGAAGTTTGTGAATATTTATTTTAAAAAAGTAAATAATTCTAACAATTCGAGGCAAATCTTAGTGTCCTACATCTTCTGTTGAACTTATTTCATGATTCTTTTTGTTTTTTTTCCTTCCAGTTGGTAGAGTATCTGACGTTATAAATTAGCCTATGATACCTTTATTGATTGTCATGGCTCATATGAAATTGGCAAGTCTTTTTTGAATCATTTAATTTCTATTGTTTATTGATTTTTTTTTCGAATAATATACTGACATGTATGCATGGAGAATAACCAATCGGTAACAGGTGTTAGGTTTAAGCATACCGCTCCTTCATTATACTATGGTTGAATGTGGAGATGATCTATACTTGCAATTTATGATAGCTTATAACAGAAAAATACTTTTTTCAAATAATTTTGAAAGAATTAAAAACATCTAAGAGGATACTAACACTACGATAAATTCTTCTTAATATCTCAAAAAATTCTTCCGCTATTTTTAGTATGGAAAAATCTTTTAATCTATTAAATTTTGCTCTTCATTATACGCAATAATAATCGACAGGATTTTAGGTGTATCAATTACAATGCACTCCTGTCCTATATATACTTTATCAATTGATCAAGATAATAAAATTGTAATCATCACGAGAACAAAAATAGTACAACATTGATACCTTTGATGAGGTATTTTTACTTGAATGTGATCACGAATTGTTTATTTATACAAAAAAGAAAAGAAAAGAAAAGAAAATTGAATTATTTCTATAAATATCTTATTACCAAAAGAACACGCTCTTATGCCGACATTGATATTATATCTTTTCTTTTCAGATAACCTTAAGGTTAAGTAAATCCTTTTTTTTCTTTCTCTATTGACTAAATAGAGTGTGGGGTTCTTATCTCAACATTCTGTTTTGTCAGCCTATTTTATTTGGAAACATAAAATAAAACAAAAGATGAGTGAATCTTATGATTTTACTTTATGGTCACATTATTATCGTGATTATCTTCTTTCAAATATAATACCTTTTTGGCTTCGTCATTCCATTGATACTGAATGTGGTGGTTATTTTACATGCCTTGATCGTTATGGAAGAGTTTTTGATACAGATAAATTTATTTGGTTACAAGCACGGCAAGTTTGGATGTTTGCAAAATTATATCAAGATAATGATTTGAATGTCTCTAATAATGAACGAAAACAATGGTTAAAAACAGCACAACATGGAGCACAATTTCTTGAAAAATATGGTCGACATCCAACAAGTGGACAATGGTATTTTTCTTTAACACAAAAAGGTGAACCACTTATTGAACCATATAATATATTTTCAAGTGTTTTTGCTTCAATGGCATTTGGACAAATGGCTAAAATCGATAAAAATAATTGTGAAAAATATAAAGAAATAGCATTAAATACATTTAATGATATACAAAAACGTCGTTCCAATCCTAAAGGTGAATGGAATAAAGCAAGTTCTTCATCGCCAAGGCAATTAAAAAGTTTTGCTTTACCTATGATGATGTGTAATTTAGCTATGGAATTAGAACATCTTATTGATAAACAACTTATACAAACATTAACACAAGAATGTATTCAAGAAATAATCGAACAATTTCGTCAATCCGATTCTGGATTAATATTAGAATATATTGATGCTAAAGACGGTTCAAGAAATGATTCATTTGAAGGACGACTAGTCAATCCAGGTCATGGTATTGAAGCAATGTGGTTTTTACTTGATATTGCTGAACGACAAAATAATAACGAATTAGCTTCAATCTGTATTGATACTTTATTAAAAATATTAAATTATAGTTGGGATGATAAATATGGGGGAATTTTTTATTTTCTTGATATTGAGCAACGACCACCACAACAACTTGAATGGGATCAAAAATTATGGTGGGTTCATCTTGAAACATTAATTGCATTAATTAAATCTATTGATCATCAACCAGATAAAACAGATGAATTAGTTAGTTGGTTAAATAAAGTACAGAAATATACGATTGATCATTTTGTTGATCCAGAAGGTGGAGAATTATATGGATATTTGAATCGGCAAGGTGAAGTTTTATTAAATTTAAAAGGTGGAAAATGGAAAGGATGCTATCATGTACCCAGAGCTTTTTATTTATGTTGGAAAACATTGGATAAAATTAGCAAAAAAAAATAAACAAAATTTTTTTGTTTAATAAGATGAGTTTTAGAAATAAATCATGAAATAATTTTATTCCCTCTACTGAAAGGAGGATCATACGCTGAGTGAGTTATCTTCGTTCGTTCGTATGTATGTATGTATGTTCGTTCGTTCATTAGAGCGCCGAAGATGAACTGAGTTCATTCATTAAACTAAGTAAGACAAAGTTTGACCCAAGATTTTTCGGGTCGAGGAATTCAAATCCGTGATGAGTTTTTTGAAATTTTGTACTGTATGCTGCCGTGAATAAGACACTTTGTTTCAGAAACAATTTGTGTCAAAATTTTATCGATTCACCGAATCAGAAGAATAGTTTGGAAGATATTCATTGCTGAGTTCGAAATATCGTTGATAGAGTGAAGGGTTCTGTTGCGTTTGCACCCAATGTATTGTGTTTTTCAGAAGTTTAAATAAGTTCGTATTGATCTCAGAAAACTTTGTTTTCCAAAATGAGATCGATTTTAGCTCGCACTTTACGCCTCATTTCAGAGCAGACGAAGCTCAATTGGGAAAACTGAGCTTCAAAATAAGTCGTTCTAAGAAAGTTTGTTATCGCTGCTGCAACTTCAGATGAAAGGTGCTACCTGCCCGGGAAAAGTATCTGTGGCTTCATTCTCCTCAGGTCACATACTGCTTCAGCGCATGCGTGTTCAGTTATTGAATGTAATACTGGCAGGTGCTGTAAATAATAAATGTGTCATTGTTCATAGACTATAACTACATTAGAACGGTAGTAAGACACAAATTATCTAATAGAATTGAAGGAAAACGTTTTCGAGTGTTTTTTGCAATCGTGTCTAATCTCTTGAGTTCCTCTGCTTGTGCTGCTGACGGCTTCACTTGTAGAGATGACAATACAAAAGAACACACGATCAGGGGGTCATCAAGGCGTTTAACACGAGATAATGGAACGTAAACTCATGCGACTTCAACTGGACCAGGGGGCGTGACGAGATCAACAATAATTTTGCTAAGCGTTTGACCTTGACTTTTGTGTGTTGTTATGCTATAGGCAGGTGTTAACGGAAGAGCTTTACGCTTGATCGAAATTTTTGTTGTTCGTTTTGCCATTTTGGTAATTTTTGAAAGACTTTCGGGAAGAAGCTCCTTGATATCAAATTTGAGTTCAGAATCAAGCTTGCAGCTCGAGAACTCTACCAAAGCATATTTTGGTTGTGTTATAAACTTAGNTCCCAAGGCCCATGGGGAAGAACCCTTTTAAGCTTTTGCTAGTCTCACTGAGCTCTACAAAATGGCATATGTCCGATTCAAAACGGAGCGTGGCACCTGGGGACCTTCCCTCGTTAGTGATAATTCATGTAAAACAGTGCCAATGACGATAGTTATTATATTTCTCTTTGTTCTGGTGGGTGAGTGGCGTCCAGCTTAACTCATCCTTGGTTATGTCACTATCGACAAGTCGTCACAAATACATTAGAAACGGTTCATCAGAGACATCTTAGCAACGACACATCACACACGTGATCGACATAACAATAGAAATGTCATCGATCGGGACTAGAGTTTATCGAGTTGATTCCGGACTCCACCGGGTCTGAATCCGAGAATTTTTGACACAGCGAATTCTATCTGTCTAAAAAATGTGTGCAATGCGCTAGTCATTGAATGCAAAGAACTGGAAAAAAGTATCTGGCATCTTCGGGGTGACTGTCCAATTTTTGATTAAAAATTTCATCGAGAGTATCAAAGTACAGTTCGACGGATCCGAAGCCAAAAACTTTCACCCAACGAACTCTAACTGGGGCAGACGTTATTCATATGCACTCAAAGATCGTAGATGAATAACGTCTCGCTACAATAGATGAACTACTTTCTTATTGCATTTCTCGAAGATTAAGTAAAAGAATGATGAAAAAATGTGTACCAAAACACATGGAATAAAATCATGTCCCGATGATTAGCAATAGCAGTTACATCGTATTTCATATTTTAAATCCGCCGGGATTGTGTTAAAAGCTTTTCTTTTTTTTTATAGACAAAGACTTGAATTAAAATTAAAACGATTAAAAGAAGAATATGTTAATGCACGTAAAGAACTTTATTCTCGTATTGAAGAAAACAATGCATTACAACATGAACTTGTTGAATATCGATTTAAAGTTGATTATTACTCCCAAATGAATAATCAGACATTGCATTTGGCTACGTCTGTAAGTTTAAACAAAACAAGAATTCTTTTAAGTTTAGAATGGTTTTTTGCTTTTTTAAAATAAGTCTAATGAACAAGAATCATCAACAGCTGTTCAATTATATTTAAAAGAAAAGGCAGATAGCCAATGTTGGCAATCAAAATGCCGAATGTATCAACAAAAAATTGAACAGTTACAAAAAAATTACGAATTAACTAAAGATAAATATAAACAACGTTTACAAGAAGAACGGTAAGAATTTATTTTAATTTTTTTATTTATTTAATAATTTCTTTATTTAGAGGTATATTTGAACGTACGAAACTTAAATATCTTGATCATATGAAAAATATTCAAAACGATTTACATGAAACACGACAATTACTAGAAAAAGATGCCGAATTAAAAATGAGCCAAGAATCAGCATATCAAGAATTGATTGATGAACGAAGACAATTACTTACAAGGTAATTATCTATTGTTTTAAAACAATAATATCGTCTCTATCTCTTGCTATCCTGTTCTTCGAATATCTTTGTATCTGAATAGTAATATCATTTTTGACAAATAAACTTTCTACAAACTCTCCTGATTTATGTTAATTCTGCAAACGGGAAAATGAGATATTTTTATTAAAGCACTTGTAACAAACTACTCATTTTTCTTTATTTACATCTGAAATCATTTGACTTCTCTTTCTCTTATTTTATTAAATCTGATAAAACAAATAAATTATGCTAATACGAATATCTTTCTTTTATTCAAACAATGCATTTTTCTTTATGTGTGAAACTTATTATTATGTATATATTTACTAGTATGCTTGACAAAGATGCCAAAGTGCGTGAAATGCGTCGTGAAAATCATTTATTAACATCAAAAATTCAATTACTTGAAAATCAAATGGAACATTTAAATGATCGTGTTGATCGAACATTACGTGAGCGAAGTCAACTTCGTCGAGATGTTAATAGTGTTAGATTAGATAGTAATGTTTCAATTGAAGTAAATATTTTGTTTTTCTTTTCTTTGCGAAGAAAATTCTTTTTTTTTAAATATTTTATAGACGAGTTCTCGTTCTTCACCAATTTTACCTTCAACAAGGTCAACAACTTTTATTGATTCAACAGGATGGACTCAACCTGTTTATTATACAGAATCATTTGGTTTTAATAATGATCCTCAGTGTGAAACACTTGCTGTTTCTTAAGTTAATTATGTTTTTCTTTTGCATATATTTCTTAACATTGACAATTGAATAAGGTTTTTTGTTTTTCTCAGGCTAAAAAAAACAGTGAAATATTTCGTCAAAAATCTTATTCATCATTTGGTTTTTTTTCGGACCAGTCTTTGTCAGATATTTCTTTCGTTTCTTTGGTTTTTTGTTTATTAGAAATGTAGAATAAAGCTAACATTAGAATCTTGATCTTTGATTAGGTTATTTTTCTATTATGGTGTGTCACAAGAATAAATTTAAACAATATTCAAACAAAAAATGAAGTTGAAGTTACTGAACAATTCAAACTTTACATATATGTGGTTTCAGTTTTGAGTATTCGATAATCGAATTCAAATTTCACGCACAATATCTAAGAGATGCGTAAGACTTGACAACAATCTTATTAGTGTCATGAATCATCATAATATTTCAAAGAATAGAAATATAGTCTTTTGATCTTAGGTTCAGATTAACGAATGATTTGTTTTATTACTTCTTCTGAAATGAATACTATAGATTATATACTGGTATAATATTACTAACAGATCATGGAACTGCATTTATGAAAAGATCGAAAGAAAATATATGTGCAAAAAAGTGTACTATAAGCTTTTCAATATAGTGTATTTGATTTGATATAAATAATAACAGAATTATATTGAAAAGTAACATTCTTAATATTTATCAAGTAATACAATAATCAATTCCAGAAATGTTGTTCCCAATATTTATATGTAATGAAAGTTGTTCAATGCTATCGTCTTTTTCTATATTAATATTGACACCTCCATCTTCATCTTTTTTTTCGACTTATCCATAACTCTTTTTGCGTTCTTAATATGATGTATAAATTTCTTTAACAAGATCACTGTTAGTACAATTGCCTTGCCATCTATGAATAATTATATTTGTTTTTCTGACCATCTCATATGAGAGCCATCATGTTCAACATCATGGGTAGTAAACATTCAGTTTGTAAATTAATCTACACTCGAATAAGAACAATTAATTGAATCGCTTTTAGCAAATGATAGTTACTCTGTGTAAGTCACTATTCAAACAAGAAAAATATCAGAAATGCGTCACATTGATATAAAAAAATCAAGATAAGACAAGAGAAATGTCATGAGAACATAACATGAGTCATGATTTCTATCTGTTAATGACTATCACTTTTTAAAATAGAGTTAACTGTATCAAGTCGTTGTCCCTTTATGACCATTGACGTAATACATAATAAATGTACTTTATGACATACAAAAAAAATGGAAAAGAGCAAAGAACTTCAAAACTAAAAAAAGAGATGTTACTGGAACTGGAACTTGTTTTATCGGAGTTTATTGGATTTATTTAAATCATAGGATTCATTTAAATTAATCTGTTGATAGTATACAATGCGTTTGAACTGTACCGAAAGACAGACATAATTCTGAAGTGTCAGCCGTTCTCCTCCTCTCATCTGGTCTGTACTCTTCTTAAGTGTGGTTCTTACTCTAATTTCCGCTAGGTACCACTTTCATTATAAATTTCTTCGTTTCATGAGAAGATGTATGGTGGAATATGTAGAAAAATCTCGAAAAAACAAATCCTGGAAGTTACTTCTTTATTAGAAAGATATAATCCTGAGATGTCTTACTTTACTTTCAATCATACATATTGTAAATCTTGAAATATTCATCAGAAAATAATTTTCATGAATATCATTTTTGAAAGGCACTGTTTGTTAAATATATATATGTATATAACTATTTTCCTGACCAATTACACGTTTTGAAGAGTCCAAAGTACTAGGCTGCGACATTGTCCAAGACAAATGAAACCGACATTAATTTATCACAAGAGGGCGCTTTTATCCAATATTTATTTTTTCAATCAACATCTGTATTTATTTCAATTGGTCTCTTTTTTTACTCGAGCCAATACTTGACTCAAAATATGTTTGTTCGTCATCAGTTAGAGTGGTGTAGGGGCGTTAATAATCATGCCTATTTATTTGCTCTCTTGTCTTTAAATGTAACTTAGAATATACTTTTTGGTTTTTTTGTCAATTGTTTTAAATGACAAGCGACAATCCAGCTGCACTATCCGTCCACTTAGCTCATACACTTCGTGGTCATACATCTGATGTTAATGCCGTTATTTTCTCACCAACACATTCTACTTCACCATTACTTGCATCATGTTCATCAGATAAAACAATTCGACTATGGAATTTAAATGATCAATCATCAACAACATTAACACGACATACATATCAAGTTCATTGTCTTGCTTTTTCGCCAATTCTTAATGATACTGATGATTCAAAAATTAGAAATATGGCATCAGTTTCAACTGATGGAACTTGTCTTCTATGGGATTTAACAACAATAAGTGTATTAAAAGAATATAAACATGATAGTGGTTCTCCTATTCGTGTTTGCCAATTTTCATCTGATGGAATTTTATTAGCGACAGGTTAAATTCCTCTTTTTTTGTGTTCAAAATTAGGCAAGAAAAAGAAACATTTGTTTTTGTTTTTTTAATATTTAGCTGGTGATGATGAACTAATCAATTTATGGGATATAACTGCTTCATCATCTCGACCAGTTAAAACTTTATCTGGTCATTCAGCATCGATTGTTGCACTACGATTTTTTTCAAATCTTCTCATATCTGGTTCCTTTTATGGTGACCTTAAAATTTGGGTTATTGATTCCTCATTCACTGGTCCTGTTCATTTTGAACGTGAAGCACATGATTTAGGTGTAACATGTTTAGACATCTTTGCTTCTTCATCGACTGAAATTCACCATCATCAGCATCCACCTCATTTAATAGCTTCAGGTGGAAATGATAACAATGTTAAAATTTGGCACTGTACATCGTCATCAAAACATCACTTGACACCTGTAAGAACATTAAAAAAGCATTCATGTGCTGTTATGTGTGTATCATTTGGTATAAAACATTATTTGGCAAGTGGCTCTGGTGATAAAACAATCATTATTTGGAATTATGAAACAGGCCATTCCATTCATCAATTTGATGCACATACACGTTATGTTACATGTTGTTCGTTTTCATTAGATGGTTATTACTTAGCATCTGGTTCAAATGATCGTATGGTAAATATATGGAAAATAAACTATAATGATAATGATAATGAGGAAAAAAACCATAAAAAATCTAAAAAGCAAGAGTTTGAATTACATTCTATTGATCAATGGACAAATGACATGGTTCAACAATGGCTTGAACAATTTGGTATACAAACAAAATTAAATTTAACTGGAAATGATTTATTATTAAAATCGGATACTGAAATATTAGAATTATTTAATAATAATGAACAATTATTAAATGAACTTAGTTCATTAAGACATAAACATTTTATAAAACAAATTTCATTGAAAAAAGCAAATGAAAATTTAACATCAAATGAAAACAAGAAAGAATCTATACCAAATGAATTTTTATGTCCAATAACGCATGAAATAATGTATGATCCTGTATGTACATCTGATGGTTATACATATGAAAGAAAAGCCATTGAAGAATGGTTAACAAAAAAGAAAACAAGTCCTCTGATGAATTCATCGATCAAGGGTACACAACTTTATCCTAATAAAGTTTTAAAAATGTTAATTGATAAATATGTTCAACAAAGCTAATTAATTTCTTTTTTGCTTTGCTAGCTCGAATATTCTTTTATTTTTATGCAATCTTTCTTTTTTTTTTCTGCTTGTGTATTGTTACTGTGATAAGAATGTGAAAAACATTTTATGAAAAAACTAATGCAGCTCTGTTTTTTATAGATATATAAAGAGAAGTTTTGATGGCATCAATAAAGCCAAATGTGATATTTGTTTTAGGTGGACCGGGAGCTGGTATGTCTTCTTTGATATGTGAATTTTGTTTTTCTTAATATTGTTTTATTTAGGCAAAGGTACACAATGTGTTCGTATTGCCGAGGTCAGTTGCATTTGTTCAAAGAATTTCAACGAACAAAAGATTCTTTTTTTCTGTTTTTCATAGAAATATGGTTATGTTCATTTATCAGCCGGTGATCTTCTTCGAGAAGAAGCAGCAAAACCTGACTCAGATTTAGGCCACGAAATCAACGAACATATCAAGAACGGTTCGATCGTACCCGTTGCAGTGACTTGCAAATTACTTGAAAATGTAAATTAATTATTTAGTTTCACTATCTGGAACAAAATTCAATTTTTTTCTATTCTTATAAAGGCTATGAAGAAAAGCGGCAAAGGAAATTTTTTAATAGATGGATTTCCACGTAATAAAGATAATGTTGACGGATGGAAAAAAGCTATGGATGGAAAAGTTAATGTTCAATGTGTTCTCTTTTTTGATTGTGATGAAAAGGTTAATATCATTATTCATTTCTCTGTTTTTTATTTTTATTACATCGTTTTTGTTCTTCCGATAGACTTGTGTTGCTCGATGTTTGGAACGTGGTAAAGGAAGTGGACGAACCGATGACAATGAAGAAAGTTTAAAGAAACGGTAAAAACATTTAAAAATTTTATTTAGAAATTTTTATTTTATTTATCTTAGTATTGTTACATATAATAATTCAACACGACCGGTAATTGAATTCTATGAAAAAGAAAATTTAGTTAAACATGTTGATGCTTCGAATGATGTTGACAAGGTTTGATNACATTTTCGAACGTTCTAGAAAATTCTAGAATTCTTAACCTTTCAACTTTGACCTTTGACCTTTAACCTTTGACCCGGCACAGAGAAACACACACTGAACATTATATATATAGATTACTTAATTGTTTTTTCGTTTGAAAGAACATGTCAGGATGCAGGGCATGACAGAGCACTTTTTTTTTTGAAATTCTTACTTTTTAAGGAGAGAAAAGGGATAAAAAATTGAGAGTCTCGAAAAACTCTTGAAGCAAAAAGCAAAAACCGTTTGCTGCTTCTTCTGAAAACATCATATTGTGAAACTCCCATATACTTTTGAAAAAATGGTGAGAGTAAGTTTCAAGTCGAATTGTGCGGCTCATTCCCATTCCTTCATTATTGACCTTAGCAACCGAAGTTGAAGATTATTGAGTAAGATTCCATAGCAACCGCAGATGTCAATCTGTCATTTTAATACTGCTGTCACTCGTAATTATGCAGATAAAAATAAGAGACTTGCTTAGCGAGCAAAACTGGTTGAAATTTTAAGATCAAAAAACGAAACAAGCAAAGAAAAGAGTGTAGAATGAAATATACTCCACTCTGTTCTTTTTGCCTATTTCTGGTTCTCGGAGATAGTAAAACTGATCTGCATGAAATTGTGACCATAGACAGAGTACCTGTAATAAGGAGACATGTGTACGAAGAAAAGGACTTTAAACAAGATTTTCGCGATTTATTTTTGAAAAAATCCTGATTTTCATAGGACCACGTCGAGTTCTCCACGATTTCCAGCTAATTTTGTTGGATCGAACTGAAACTTTGACCATTGATACTGGAAAATATTCTCTGGAGATGAAATCGGTCGTTTTCATTGTTGACTTTCTCATTCGAATTTATAGAACTTTGAATGTTATCACCCTCGATTTCGAATCTGAACCGTTACGTATTTCTTTCATGAGGAAAAAGAAAAGAAAATTTTTGAAAAACTTTTAAATTACCTTTGAGTTATAGTCTAAAGTATCTCAAAAAAAATTCGCAGTGCGATCAGATATAATTAGACGAGGATCATTAACGAACTCGATGTGGTCCTATGAGATTCAGGGTGGTCCAGGGAAAAAAACTACGAAATCCTTGTTTAAATGTTTTGTCTATGGTAAAAATTTCATGCGAAATGATTACATTCTTTTCGAGAATCAGAAATAGTCAAAAAGATGGAGAGTACCCTTAAGATACTAACATGTGCACAATCAGTAGCGAGGCAATGTTTAATGTACAAAAACATATATGAGTTCCACATTTTAATCCCAAAGAGACTGCGCCAAGAAGATTTTTTTTTCATGTTGTTTATGATAGATCAGACCTTCAGCTATTCTTTCATTCATTGATCTTAGTTTTGATTATTTTGATAGAACTTGACTTTTTTTTTGAAAGTTCTTAGTTTTTAATAAAATATTTGATTAACTATTCTTTTTCTTAAGAAATTAATGTCATTCGAAGAAGAATTAATTGAACAATTTCAATATGAATTACAATTATCTGTTGGTGATGAATTAAAAGCTTTACTAAGTTCATTTAGTGGTAAAGATAATTCATTTTATGTATTAGTTATTAACGAAAATACAGCTGCTATTGATCGAGCTATGAGTGAATTACAAGAAGATCATATACCACATCGAGAATATGTTCAAGTACCTGAAATTAAAACGTATATTTTATATTTTTTGAATATATTAATTAAAATCTCAGTATTGTTTTTTTTTTATTCTTTAGTCTTGTTGTTGCACGATATGCTGATGATAAAAAATATTATCGTGCATGGGTGAAATCAGTTGATATACAACATGAACAAGCTATAGTTTTTTTTGTTGATTTTGGTAATGAAAGTACTGTATCATTTTCGGATGTATACATATGTCCAGAATCTGTTCGTGAACTTCCATGGCTTGGAATACGTGTACATCTTACAAATGAAACAATGACAGCTGAAGAATTAACATCATTTTGGAAATTAACTGAATCACATTATATATGGATACGCGTTAATGAAATATTCAAAGATTCATATGGTATACAAATTAAAATTGATTATACAGTATATCTTCAACAAGAACGTCTTAAAATGTCAACATTTAAACGATTTATTCATAAAGGTGTACAGGTTTGAAAGAAAAAGTATTCTTTTTTTAAAAATAAAAATAATAATGTTTTTATATTAGACGAAAACGGATGAAAAATTTGTATATCCAAGAAATAGTTCAGAAAGAAATTCATGTTTATTAACACCATCAAAAATTGATCAAACACAAATAGGAAATGAAAATTTTTTTCGTAATTTAGTTGAAATGATTAATAATGAATTACGTTCACTTCGACAACGTATTAATGGTAGTGATGAAGCATCACAAGATCGACACAATCAACTTACGCAATTATTATTTTCGATAGTGAATTCAAATAATAGTAATAATCAAAAAAAGATTTGTTGATTAAAAACGAAGAAAAACAGCAACTCTTGATATTTAACAACCGGTTATTAATATCCATTTTCAATAGTCAGCTATTTCTAATACATACAAAGTTATTTCTATGTATTTAATTGTTTCTCTCAGGATTCGTATTCCTTTTTTTTTCGTTTATTTGTGTAAAATAAAAATGCTAATGTTTTCTTTCCATATCGTAGATATTGATTTTTAATATGACGAGTCTATTACGTTAATTAACGAAGTATTTTAACACGAGTTTCATATACAGAGTGACATAAAAACGAAGGATGGTCATTCGAATCATTCACCACTTCTTCATCAACATTGTTCATGATAGCATGATTTACATTAACAATTATATTTGTTAATATATTGATATCCAAGGGAGAAAAAGCGGATCCTGGTGGATCCTAGGATCCATGAGGATTCACCAGGATCCATGAGGATCCACCAGGATCCATGAGGGTCCACCAGGATCCACCAGGATCCATCAGGATCCATGAGGATCCGTCAGGATCCATTAGGATCCAAAAAAACCATTAAAATTAGCAGTATAGATCAATGCTGTATATATCGATAAAAGCAAGAAAACCAATGAGACGTATAAAATAAGGATATATAAATAAAAATCTTTTGTGGATGAATCAACATTATGATCATTTGTGATTGATACAACTCAGACTGCTACAATTTACAAAGAAAAAGGGATCCGGATGCACATCCCACGATCTATNCGAGAAGGAAGGCCCATGGGCCCTTGTCCTTTTGGGCTTTTTCTAATCTCATTGGACTCTACTTATCGGCAAAATATCGGCTTAAAAGCTTTGAATCACTTCGAACGGTTCCCTCGTAAGTATTTTCTCAAAGTACAAGTACCTGCTACATAATGAACGAGTGAGGATTATTCCTCAATCGTTTTACATATGTATATGACTACTCGGCGTTCTCTGTTCTCTGTCTTTATTCTTCGTTTTCAATCTGTTCTTCTTCGATTTCGCCTTTTGTCAATATATCGGTTTATCGTCTTTTCTCCGTTGCTTTAAGGACATTTGTTTTTCATATACGTCTTATTCATTCGTTTCGTTTTCATTTGGTTCAAAAAGTACATCCTTATCTAACTGTACCAAGTACTTTTTTTACAAGTACAAGTATAAATACCAAGTACACTTGATAAGTATAAGTACTTTGGTTCTTACTTGAAAAAGTACGAAAAGTACAAGCTCAAATACTTTCGTCCGAACTCTGCTATGTGCATCAATATAATATCATTCAAAAAGTACGTTTTGATTTCTTATTATTATCTTCGATGACAACTAAAAATTATCTATGAAGCGCTTTACATGGATTTTTCTTACTTGATACTGGATAGGTTTGCTTTGATGATATAAACAATAATACTTAATACTAGTCAGCGGTGGAGCTAGAATTTTGACCTAAGAAGACTCAACCCCTTTCGCTGACGGAACATTCGAAAGATGTATTTTTTCTGATATAAAAATGTATTAGTCTTCACAATGATGAAACATTTTAAAGACTAATACATTTTTGTATCAGAAAGAATGCATGTTTAAAAAATCTCGCTAAGGATAAGGGATCTGAGTTCTCTCTCTCCCATGGGCTCCGTCACTGATGGTAGTATTTGTTTACTTTATGCGTATGAAAAAACATTGAATAAACTTTTATCACTAATCAAAACCTAAGCTCATTTGATTGAACCGATTCAGAGATATTTCATTTCTTCAGCATAATGTTATTTATATCTCACACTGTATATCTAAATAAATACCTAGACTTTTCTTCCTATTGCAAACTAGTAATATAATATCCAAAGAATGCTCACAGAATTTCATGCCAATACGTGACTTAAACAGTGACTTATGTGTTCTAAAAAAATACTGGAAGATATACAAAGTCTAAATGTTAATTAATATTAATCTATCATGAACTTGCGTTAATGTCAGTGTGCGTGTGTGTTTATCTTTTTACATATTATACTAAATATAAATTATGCATAGCAAGCATACTTGAAACCTCAGTATGATTGATCTGTCATATATTTTTAATTAAGATAATTGATATTATTTGCATAGTTTTTATGTAAGGTAAAATAAATATACAATCAAAGAAAAGCATGCATATCGTCAAATTTTGATTTTGGTAATTTCTTTTTTTTTATTGGTAAATCTTCGTCGTCGTCTTCTCCTTCTCCACTATCACTTCCAGTATCGATAGAAATTGTTGCTTCATCTTCGTCTTCATCTTCTTCTTTATTTGCAAGACGTATTTTTATTTGTGGATCACCAGGAATATCCGAATGAACTGATTCAATAATATCTGCCGGAAACTTATGACCATCAGCTTCATAAAAAAATAAAATAAAACAATCAAAATGTTCTCTAAATTGAATTTTATTTACCCCGAACAAATGATTCATCTCTTAATCTTGAATTCTAAGCAAAAAATAAAATTTAATTAAACAAAATCAAAAAAGTTAATCTCAATACCTTTTTCATTTTATTTAATTGGTCAGCTGATGAATATAAAATAGAACCTAATAATAATAATAATAATAATATAGTCAAGTTTTTTCTCATTGTATTCTGCTCGTAATCGTCAAATATTAGATTTAATACTTAGTAAAAGACTGACAGCACGATTAGCACATTGATAAAATGCAAACCATATGCGAGAAAAAAAAGATAGAAATGACATTTTATAATAGTCAAATAAAATACTAGCTGAAACATTGACATTGGTTGATTTTATGTATCTTGATAACCATCAGTCATTTTTTTAAAGAAAACGAGGTACAACATATGTGCTCGTTTTTCTTTTCTTGCTGTTTTTTTCTCTCTCTCTCCAGGTAATTCCATTAAACTCTATTTTTGTCATCGAATGCAAACATTTCACTATTTAAAAAAGTGAACATACAAAAACACAACAACAAACGAAAATGAATTTTCTTATCTTTGATAAAGAACTTCTATCATCAAAATTAGTTCATACAATATTAGCTGATTTTCGTCATGTAACATTAATTACATCTAGCGAATCATCATTATCTATTCCATCATCATCACCACAATTTTTATTAATTAAACAAGTTGATATTAGTAATGCACATCAAGTTATACAAAGTTTATCTAAACATGAAAATGATCCATTTGATGCTATTCTCATATTTAATTCAACACAATATTCAGATCTTCATAATATTTTGGAAACTATGAAACGATTAAAACGACAACCTCCTCATCTTTTTTTCTTTTTTATTGGTCAACAACATGAATTTGATAAAAGCATTAATAAACTTCTGAAAGAAATTTCAGATATTATATCATGGACAATTGTTATATGTAATGAAATCAATTCATCAACAACGACAAAATATCAAGTTCAAACTAAATCGAATCCAAATAATCAACAACCAATCGCTCCTACTGCTGTATTAGATTTTGTATGTGATGGAATCAAAACAAAAAAATATTTACATGAAACAATTTATATTTATTAATTCTTAAGATGTTATTCAGTTTTTTTCCTTAAGCCACATTGATTTCATAATTGGTTTTAATTGATCAGCGTGATTTGATGTTCTTTCATTTATATACTCACTAAGTTTTTCACTAACAATTTGAGAATGTAGTAGGCGTGTAATAAATGATGTTAAAAGTCTTACACTGCCTCGATATGTTGAACAACGATATAGTATGCAACGCCATAATAATTCAATATAGAAATTTTGTATTGATAAAATAGTTTTTGTAGGAATTATTTGTTTATTAACATCATATCGAATACTTAAAGTTGTTGAAAAAATTTATACAATTAATATTAATTTCAGAAAAATAGGATCATAAACAAACGGATTAAGACCCATGGCACAATGGTTTAATTCAATAAATAAATCTATCGGAAAAACATTTTTAAATTCAACTGAATTTATATTATCAACAACACCTGTTGCATGTATAATTAATGCATTATTAAGAAGAAATGTTTGATTAAAATTACTTTTTAATAAACTAATTTTTATTTCAATAGATAAATTTGAAAATTCAGGTATATATTTAAAATAATCAATTAATGCTTTATACATATGTGTAAAAGAATTCATAAATTTTTGTAATGATAATGTATTATCATTAGGCATTTTTAAAAGTTTATGAAATTTTAACGAAACACAGGTTTTTTCATACGCATGTAATATATTTGCTAATAATGTTCGATCATTTGATGATAAAGATAAATATGTTCTTTGAGAATATTTTAAGATTAACTGATTGAATCTAAATACAGAAAATTCAATATGAATTAATGAAATAAAATAAAATACAGTTTCAGTTTTTTCCATTCTTCTTCGTCGATTATATTCAATTAATTGATTTCGGTCTAAATTTTCACCTTCAGTACATGTAGCTTTAGAATTCATGCCAACACGAAAACATTTAGCTAAGCGACATCAATTACATCGTCGACGGGTCACACATGTTATTGGACAATCACCATCTTTATAACATATAAATTCATATGAATGACTAGAGAAGAAAAATTTCACTATACAATATTTATGTATAGACAAATATAATTACATAAACCAAGTTTTTTAGCATTTCGACGAAAAAATGCTTTACATGGCGAACATGTATGAACACCAAAATTAATACCGGCCGATGCGTCTCCACAGACAAGATATTGATCACTATCTTTGTTTTGTTTTTTCCTTCCTCGTTTTGGTACATAATGGAAACTTGTGGAAATACTTGACTGAACATATAAAACAAAAGCATAACTTCAATATTCTTATGTTATAAGCACACAGTATAAGTATATCCCTGAAGCATATCGTTGTGGACGATGGGTGTGATAGTCATGAAAATAAACTTGTTTTCAATTCGTTTTTATCCGTTGGTGTTCGTGTTGAAGCGTATACATTTGTTTCTCTTCCTCCTTTTTTTAATTTTTTCCTTTTCTTCGGTCTTTTATGTCAATGTAAATAAGAATGACAGAAAAGAAAAACAAAAACAAAAACAAAATGACATTTTTACTAAGAAATATTGAATATAGTAATACAAAATCTCTTTATATAAAAATATATTATTGTAATATTCTAAACGATACTTGTTTGAGATATTTCAACAGCAGGTGCTCCATAAGGTTCAGTTCTAGCGGCACTATTGTTTCGTATTCATGTACACTTTTTGCCATCGTACTTTACACAAGTAGTTTCACACCTATTTGCGGATGATCTCACTATTGTCATCAAAGGTGCCCTGGAGTTGAAAATGACTGATAACCTAAAATATTTAGAACAACAAGCAAAAATAGTTTTAAGAAGTTTAGAAAAATTTGCAAACGATCATATACTTCCTGTTAATGTAACAAAAACAAAAAGAATGATCATTCATAACGCAGTAACAGTTTCTAACCCTATAATAAAATAGAAAGATATTTTTATTGACTATATAAAATCTTTCAAATTTCTAGGAGTAGAATTAGAACGAAATTAGGATGGGAAATCTTTATCAACAACCGCCTGAAAGCAATTAGAAAGACTTACAACGGATTAAGAATAGTTTATCGCAAAATACCAATAACTGAGATGAAAATGCGCCGAAAACTTTTTTCTGCATATGCGATGCCCCATTTCATCTGGCTATTTGCCACGTGGTTTTTCTATACAGAAAAACAACAAGCAACCATTGAACATGTTTATTGTACAGGAATAAGACTAGTCTATAATACACTAAGATGGGATGATCACACCACACTTGCACTCACTAGAGAAATAACCTTAAGGGATTATATTTTAAAATATTGGCTAAAATTTATGAAACACCTGGAAGAATCTCCAGAAGGAGTTGACTTTCAACAAACAACAAACGTCTTTCTTATTGCTACGTCCGACACAAAAACGGACTATAAGAGTTGTGGATTCAGAAAAAACGCGAAATTCCCAAATAGACTAACTGAGAGAGCACAAAGTACGAAATTGGACTACCTAACATTTCTACATATCCAAAAACAACAATTTCAAATTTATAAAAAATCTTCAAGTGTTCTTGAGTGGGCTCTACTCAAATATTATTCACGTCCACCCTGAGATGTACAAAAAAAAAAAAAAGGATGTATATCAGATGTGGACATGGATTTATTCGATTTGCATTGTTCGGTTCTTCACTCTTCTACTTCATCACTTAGGATATTTCATATTTCATAGCTTCTACCTACTACTTAAAGATATATAGTGTTTCAAGTTATTATTTTTAGACTGATGTGTACCCTTTTTCCTTCTTCATTTCTGTTATGTTATCTTTTTGTTAACCTATTAAAGGAACAATAAACTTCTATATGTTAAAAAAAAAAGAAGATATTTCAACACCGAAATTTTGTTTATTTCGTGAATATTGGTTTTGAAAGATTTCTCACATATATTTAGAGATAAAAATTAACAAATCTTTTCTTAAGCTCTTTTCTTATTCTTGTTGAGTTGACATTCTTATAATTAAAGTAACGAAGAAATTCATTAATCTTCAAATTCTCATTAGATTACTTAATCTTTTAATTCTGTTTATCTTCTGACTTGGAAATTATTGCAAGAAAAAGTTCATTAGAACAGTCTCTTCTCTTGCTCTTTATTTTCTTCAATGAATTCTCTCGTCTATTAATTAATAAATGTACGCTCTATTTTCGATATCTATATCAATTTTCATTACTAATGCAAACCAATCAATATGTCGAACGTAAACAAGATATCACTTGTTAATGTAATATGATCGCTGATCTTAATGTAGTTATCAATTAGAAAAAGTAACTCGATAAGAATAAAATGTCTAAAATACAAGTAAATATTATCAATAACACTACTTTGTGAAGAATATTTTAACTATCATCATCATTATTTTAAATTAAACAATGAAAAATAAAAATAAAAAATACTATTTCATAAAATTGAATCGATCGAAAATATTCAAAATGACGCATTATTATTTAAAAACAAAACACAACTTGTATACTAAATCAACTTTTCTATATATTTCGAATCTGTTAGTTTGAAGGTTTTTTATTTAATTGTTTTTAGATTATTATTGTGATTATTTTTTGTTTCAAATCTCTTAAATCTAACAGAGTATCTAATGAATCTTTAATATATAATTAATGGGGCATATTTTTTTCAATACATCTATAAAATTTGAAAAATATTTACCAATAAAATTAATAATTGAAATGTGTTTGACAAAATAGTCATAGACAAGTTTCAAGACTGTTTGTTATGAATAGTTTTCTTTCTCCAACTTCATACATATTTTTCAAATAATTAGATTCTCTGACATTTAAGTGGCAGTTGTCATCATTCATCTGCATTAAATACATATCATTATTTATATCTAATCATGGTAAACTTAATGACTTATTATTTATTAGACATAAAAGGTACAAAAGTTAATCAAGCAAGGGGTCGCAACACATTTTAATAAAGAAAATATTCCATATCATATACGCAATAATAAGCTTAATTGAGAAGAATTGTTAGAGGCTCTAAAATGTAACAAGAGAAGATATCTCATCTGAACGAAAATTTTGTGAGACACTATCTACAAGGAATTCTGAAGTATAAAAGTAGATATTAAGACTTGCCCCCCATAAACTTGATAGACATTTTAGCAATGGTACATCAGATAGATCAGTGTAAAAATAAAAGCGCCTAATAATAAACCGTACGAAAAGGGTTTATTAACTTCATAAAATCCTCATTGAAGTTTCATAAACCCTTTTAAAATGTATGTCAGTTTCGTAAGCTCTTCAAGGATATATTATCCTCATGACTGTATAAGGGTTTATGAAGATGGAACGTATAATAAACTGTTGAAGAATGCACGAAACTGATATAAACCCTTTTTGCAGAATTTATTATTCTATAGCTGTTTTTTACACTGGCGACACACGCGACCATAGAAACGTCACAGTCCGTGATAGACACCATAGCAACACTTCCACTCCGCCCATACCTCTCCCTGCTGCATCACAAACCATATATAGAGAGCGTCTTGTTCTAATATATGAACTACTTCTTTATTGCATTTCTGGTGAATTAAGTAATGGGATGATGAAGAAATGTTTTTCAAAATAGATTAAATAAAATAATGCTCTGTGATTAACAATAGCTGCTACATCGTGGTTCACATTTAAATTTCGTACGGACTGTGCTAATAGCTCTTCTATATGAAGGCAGAATGTGGAGACAGACTTGAAAATATACATATATCCAAAGAAGAAAGGCTGAACTATTGTATGATTGCTAATGATTGTCATAGATTGTTTATGTTTCTTGTAATGTTAAATAGTAAAATCGAGTTTCTTTTACGAAGGATTCTTGTGATTTAAACTATATTCTACTTAATCAAAGGAAAGAATGCATCTCGGATCCAAATATATTTGTATTCGTTCGAGCTTATAGAGCAAAAACTTAACACTGAAATTATTTTTGTTTCGAATTTTCATCACTCAGATAGGAAAGTTTTTCAATATTTTTAACTAAGTTATTCATTTTATGTCAGAGAGTTCTCAGACCAATTTTCAAATTTACTAACAAATAATTTTTCTACAGAGAGATTCTTCAGTAAAATTAGTCCATTGTAAAGTATCATATGGTGTGAGTACACCTCTTTCTTCTTAATGGGAAATAGATATTCTGTGTATTTACGTACTATTAATATACCAAACAATTTTTCTAAAGAAATTTTTGATAAGTCAAAAGTCACTTATCTGATATCTAACAATGAATTAGTTTCATTGTATTTTCATCTAAAGAAATATTTTGTACTAGAAAATTTGAAAAAACTAATTTTAAACATAAAGATATTTTGAATGTTGCTGATGTTATATTGGCCAATAGATTAGAACTTGGACATGTCACAAAGAAAGTGAATACATTAGTTGAGTGAGAATCAGTACTGTCTTGATTACGAGCGACGTGATATTTCGTAATCTTGTCTCCCTGGTACAAAACGGTTATTTTCTAAAAACAATTTTTCCATAAAAAGATTCTTAATTGGCAGTAACTGCCTTAAGCACAATCATCTTTCTTCTGAATTTTTTCTTTAAGTCATAGTCATATTTTTGACCTTCAATAAATTCATTTTTCTGCTGCTAGGATTTTCGGTTGAGAAGAATAATCGTCTAATAGTAATTGTCAGTTATATTCTGCATGCATAAAAAAAAATCAGGAAATTGAAGACTGTGTTATGATCGTAAATAAGCGAATGAAAATAGTTATAAGCCTGTTGTTACATTTCATCTATTTAGATAATATGGTTCAGCACGTAATAGAAGGCAACGCGACAAATCATTGATTTTTATGATAAATCGTAGTTTTATGATCGACGATTATCAGTCATTATATCGATATAATGAAAGTGATTTTGTTCATGTAAACTTGATTTCTATTTCTAAACTAAGAAATTTTTCTTACTAATTTATAATAATAAATATTTTTATTCAAAAATTGGGTGCTTACCTTATTCTACATGAGTAAAATGTCGAATTAAAATTTAAAAAGAATCGATGCAACATAGAATTTCACATAGTTAAAGGTTCACCGACACTTCTGCGCGCAACACTTTCGCGCAAACGTTTTTTCTTTGTTTTCTTTATGTAAAATTAATACTAGTGATGGAACCAGAATTTTAGTCTAGAGAGAGCTCAGCTCCATATTGGACTTTTGAAATCTATCGAAGGTAATATAAATTCTTCTGAGAATTTTTGGAACTAATAGAATTTTGTTTTTCCGACTTTATATTTCACTGCACATTTTTTATCAACAGCAACAACAAAGTTCTTACACAAATGTTTCCAATTTCTTTCATGCTACAAAATGCTCTGGAAAATTTTGAATTAATTATTCCGAATACGTACTGAAAAGCTCTCTATGATATATTTTAAAGAGAACGAAATCATATAAGATACTACAATGTTCTCTGAAACATCTGTCATTCGCAGTGCTATGTATTCTACACAGCATGACACCACACCCCGATGACCAGTTTTGTGGTGAAAATTTGTTGTTTAAATATGACTATGTCGAATTCCAGTCGAATATCAAACACAAGAATATCCAAATTTTAAAAGTCGACTCACGCTATTCTTTTCATGATCACATTTAAACAGTAGAATTCGCTACAAATATCATTCAACTGTGTGTAGTTTTCATGACGTAAAAACAGTAGAAGTTGTAAATAAAAGATTTTCGAGGGAATAATATGAGTGTCATAAATATTCTCGGTCTTAGACGTCAAAACTTATTCTGTAGAGATATCAAAGTTCTGTATCGTGTTTTTCATTACAAAAACAACATGTTTCAAATAGGATACAGAACTTTGATATACATAAAAAGTTATGAAACAAAATCTTCTGTACTGAAATATACCTTAGATTCTTGGATGGGGCACAACTTCCCATTGCGCATATAAAGTCTAGTTTTTTTTGAAAGCAGGGCACGGACAAGGGCAAGGAGTCATGTTTCTCAAAAAATATTTTGTTGGGTTAATAACGTTAACTTCTAATTCGTTTATCATAAATAGTATTTTACCAACCATATTCTCCGAAATACTCGCATATTCAAAACACTTTCGGAAACAGCAGAGTGCGTTTGCACGTCTCGAAGAGAGTGTTACCTTTTTTTGTATTCTCAACATTCCATTTTTGTGTTTCAGAGTTCAATAGCTGCTTGAAGAATAAAATCGTTAAAAGTTATTCAAAAAGATAGGTAGGAAGATCTTAACAAACGAGGTTCTTGCACATATTTTCTTAATCGAGTACACTTTAACACAGGAAAATTGAAGTGATGATTGTACAAACTCTTTTACATAACTCACTTTTTATGTACTAGATTTTTATATCCTTGAAAGATGTTTTCGTCACTTAGTGTTCATAAAAGACAGAAGAAAATATTTGAATAAACTACGTAACAGCTCTTCGAGGCTACTTTTTGGATCGATATTTTAAAAATTTTTAGCAAATTTCTCTGTATAAGAAAACAAAGAAGTTTCTATGCAATAACTTTTGCACGTCCTATATCTTTTAGAAGCAATACAACCGAAATACCATAACTTTCTATCTCGCAGAGATTTATTAATGTTCATTAACAAAAATATCATTTTCGAAATTTATAAAAAGCATACGCAAGAAATTATTGTTCGGTGAAAAAGTAGATACATCACTCTATGGAGTCGATAGCCAAAATATTTCTCTATAGATCTGCGGAAGGTCGACCCTTCTAGCTTATTCCATTCAAGAGTTACAAGCATTTTACTGAAAGTCTTGAAATCGGCCCACTGACTACTGGTCACTCAAAACTATATTGAGTTTTATGCATTCGTCTATGCTGAGTTCAATCGTGATATTTGTTTTTAGTTATGAAACAAAATGGTGTTGGAAAGATAAGATCTGGAAAATATGCAATCTAAATTTAAAAGCTTTGAATATATTAAATTACAAGTACCGTAATCTAGTAGCTTAGGATGACATGGAAACTAAAAACAAATATCACGATTGAACTCAGCATAGACGAATGCATAAAACTCAATATAGTTTAGAGTGACCAGTGGTCAGTTGACCGGTTTCAAGGCTTTCAGTAAAACGCTTGTAACTCTTGAATGGAATAAGCTAGAAGAGTCGGCCTTTCGCAGATCTATAGAGAAATAACTCGGCTATTGACTTCATAAACTAAAATTCTAAGTTAGTAGAGAAGGTTTTCTCGAAAACTTCTGGTCACAATCTACAGCAAAATCACACCCGCTTGACCAATACCTAGTCTATATAATTCAGCAAAGCTTCATATTCCCCACATTTCTCTTTCGAACAGTGAAAATCGCAGGTTTCTGACTACTTTCGTTCTTGAGATATTCAAAAAATATCGAGGTTCATAATATTTTGATGTCGACAATAGTCGTTCTACAAATAATTCAAATTTTATCTTCGATTAAAATCTTTAATTAATATTGATTCATAGATTAACATAAGAAGTTCAGTTCCTTTTTTATGAATATGATAGAATGTATCTTACAAGCGTCATATTATAGACAAGGACAGAAAGATATGTTTAACGTAAGATTAAATCAGATTAGAAGCTAAATGTCATCCAGTTAGATGAGCAACAATAATGGTTGATTTATTAAAGTTTTTTTTTATTATTATTCACATAATAATAGGGTAAGAAAAAAACGTCATTTTGTCACGATAAGATTGTGTGCAATCTATTTCAACAATATATATGATGTCAGTATCTCAACTAATCATATAAATACATGCTTATCGATCATGAATAATAGATTGATTTTTTATAAAAATAGAATTTAACAAAATAGGTTCCAGAAATGGAATATCATTATGAAAATTAGAAATAAATATCTTTATCATTCATTTTTCAAAAAATGACTGTTCGTTCTAGAGCAACTAAATTAGAATATTGAGGTGGTTATGTTATATCCAAAAAATAGATTTTTATTAAAATCTTTTTAGATTTTATTAAGCTGAAATTCCAATTCAGTATAATGTAACAAATAAATTAATAAACATACAATTTTCCGAGAGGCAAACGAGAGAGACTTCACTCTTGAAGTCTTCTGAAAGCCTGCGAAACCTTGTGAAATCTCATGAGGTCTTATGATGTCTGCTGTTTCTCCCTCACTATCCTCTTCATGAGACACTCTTTGTCTAAACTAATAATTAAAAAGAAGACGTTGCATTGAAAAATCATAGATTGCAAGCGAAAAATTCTATTTGTCTTAGCCTTTGCTTTCATTCATAATAGACTAAATGTCTCAAATAGTTCTAAACAATGTATTTTGAACTTCAATCTCGTCAATATATGTTAACATGTCTAAAGAGAGATAAACAGCAGAAACTACGGTCTTGAAGTCTCATGGGATCACATGAAGTCTTATGAAGTTTGATGACGCTCATTTAGTGTGTGAAATCTATTGAAATTCATTGAAATCTACTCTTTCCGTTGAATATACTATTATAGAACCCTAGTTTAAATTATAGTGTAACATTTAAAATTCCAGCAAGTCATCTCTTTTCTTTATCTACCTGAAAATACAACAAATCTCCATCAACATGAGAGAGTCTTATGTAAAAGTGTTTCGACAAACAAAAACGAACTTATTATAGATAATAAATTGACCTATGTAGTATAAATGCGCACGTCGATAACAGATTCAAAAAAAAAAAGTAAGTGTATCCCTCGAAGAAAACATTATTACCTAGGTTTATTTAAATGCACAAAAGAATAATTTAGAAATGCCGTGTATAAAAAGTATGCTTTTTATATTGGATTTCTAATCTTTTCTTTAGATATACACTTAAAAATGAAGAAAAAAGTGTCTCCACGTGACTCTGTAGTTTTCATTAAATTAGTTAGAAAAAATTCCAATTCTGGTGAGGATTTTACCATAGAAAATGAGGGAGGTTATGTGGAACCTATTTTGAACACATCATCTGACAAAAAGAATAAAGAATCCTCACCAAAAACAATAACGCTTTGCACTATGTGTGGTCGACGCAAAGGTTTTCGAATGCGTCGTAATTTATTTATTATATTATGTATTGCTATCGTTTTGCTTGCAATATTTATTGGAATAATAATTGTACTCTATGCAATAGTTCCAGCTATAGTTCGTTCTACGATTGAAAAAGCTGAATTATCATTTCGTTTTGTTAATATTGAAGACATTGAAAATGATCGTTTTCGTCTACGAGCTGAATTAGAACTATCACGTACTGGATCAATTGCTGCTACAATACTTGCACCACTTGTTATTAATGTAGACAATGTTGGAACTGTAAAAAATGATAAACCGATTTCTATCGATGGATATCCTGATCGTCCAACTATAGTTCCAATTGATTCTCCATTTATAATTTCTGATTTAGAAGCTTTTCATAGATTCTCTCGTTCTCTTATTTTTGAATCAAATGTTGTATGGCAGTTAACAGCAAAAGCATCTATACAACCTATATCGAGTGCTATGCCTGTTTATTCTAATATTCCATTTAACAAACAGGTAAAACTTAATGCTTTAAATAGTCTTCAAAATGTAAGTATTAAATCAATAAGTCTTCGTCGATCAAATGCACATAAAATATTTGTTGATATTATTATTGTAATTCCAAATCCATCGATATTTAGTATTGATCTTGGTCAGTTAGTTTTATTATTATAATTAACTAGTTTATGATTTTATTTTAATTTTAGGTGAATTACAATTTTCTCTACGTTATAATAATTTATCGATTGGTTATGTTGAATCAACTAATAGTAATACAACACTATATCCAGGTATAAATGCAATACCATTCTCTGGTGAACTTCAATCAAATTCTACTGAATCTTACAATGCTCTTTCGACAGTTATACAAAATTTTCTTACTAGAAAAACAAGTACAGTTGAAGCATTGGCTGGTTCGAATGCAACTTCATATTCTTTACTTGCAGTTGGTATGGAAGGTCTTTCATTAAGTGTTCAAATGCCTCCATTTGATGAACAACTTATACCTTCATTAATATTTAAATCTATGTCGCTTATTCCATCGACAAATGAAAAACAAGTAACACTTTCAGCTTCGATTATTATTAAAATTAATTCACCACTTGGTCATCAATCTCCACTTAATATTCAATCAATGGATATGAACGTTCATCTTCTCTACGAAGAAAATTCTGTTGGTATGCTTGATGTTTCTCAAATTCCAGTACAACAACTCGATGAAGATACATACGAAACACAATTTCATGATAAATATTTAATACTTACTGATACGGGTAAAACTTATGAAAAATTTGCTCAAAACTTTATTAATGCTAATGAAATTAATCCAATTAATTTTCGCATTGTTGGTCTCGCTTCTATCAGCGGTTCATTCGCTCTTGGTCCATTGAAAATTAATGAAATTATTGTCGAAAATAATGTGTCATTAGTTGGTCTTGCAGGTCTTAATAATGTTCGTGTTCATGATATTTCTGTTGATGGTGAAGAAGGGGCTGCTCTTCAACTTTCTATCAATGTAACTATCGGTAATCCTGGTGTAACTGATGTTAAACTACAAAATTTTACACTTAAGATGGCCGATAGTGATAGCGGAACAGTTCTTGGTCAAGTACCAATTGATGTACTATCTTTACAGCCGGGAAATAATGATATGACACTCACTGGGTTAGTTCATTTATTTTGTTTTGTTTTACATTATTTCAATAAGTTTTCTTCCGGATTATTTTAGTCTACTTGCTCCATTAAACGAAAACGATTTGTCTGTCGTCGGTAAATTTTTCTCTGCCTATCTCAATAATCAAACACAATCAGTAACACTTTTTCATGAACTATCTACTAATGAAGAAAATACTACTGCTATGGATTTAACAATAAGTGGTCTATCGATGAAATCAAATCTTGATGGTGTAGAAACACAATTAATTCAACGAGTAGAAGTTCTCAGTTTCGGTATTGAATTTGATTCAATAATTGCCAATAAAGTTTACATAACTGGTCAATTATCAGTTTTATTTCAATTGCCATCTAATGTTCATATGACATTTAAAGCATTAACAACTAGTATTGATTATGTTATGAGTTTTAACAATGGATCAAATATGGGTCGAATGATTCTCTATGATATACCTGTTGAACATAATCAAATAACTAATGAACTTTTAATGACATTTGATAAACAAGAACTTATTGTTCTTAATGAAACAGCTTTTCAAGAATTTGCTGCTAATCTTGTTCTAACAAATAATGTATCAGTTATGATTGAAGGTTTAGCTGCAGCACTTGCTGAAGTTATTATAGGTAATATTACTTTAACTAATATTTCCGTTAGTGATACTCTTCATCTTGATGGTTATGATCGATTTGATAATGGACTTTTAAATATTGATGAAGTCGATTTAACTAAAGCATTATCATCTCATGAACTTTCACTCAGTGTACAAACAAAAATTAATAATCCTTCTGCAGTTTATATTCTTAATGGTGGTCGTCTTTCACTTGATCTGTGTGAATTAACAAGTGGCATATCACTTGGTTTAGTTATTATCGATCCATTTTATCTTGAAACACAAGGCAATAGTACTATACTTAATGCGGAAGGTACTTTTACAATAACTCAACAAAATTCTGCTACGGCTCAACAGTTTGTTTCAAATATGGTTTCTGGCATAGATAATGATGTAGAATTACGTGGTATATTACCAAATAATTCAATAGGTACTTCTATTCCTTTACTTTCAATGGCTATTTCTGGTTTACGTATTCATACGCGAGTTCCTGGTCTTTATGGCGAGAGAACACTTGTTCGAAAAGTTCTTATTAAAAAATTAAGTGCTCTACAATTATTAGGTATTTCATTTGGTACTGTCAAAATACTTAGTTCGCGTATTCAACTTAAAAATCCTTTTAGTGCACCTTTAGCTATAACAGGTATGAACATAAGAGCTGATTTTGGTTCTGTTATCAATCCAGATGTGCAGGTGGGTACTGTTACTGATAGTTCACATATTACCATTGGTGCTCGAGAAGAAGTTACAACACATTATATCGATGTAAAGATTACAGCTACGTTATCAACAATGATTTCGCTTGCGGGTCCTCTAGTAACAGGCGCTTTTCCTTTATCTTTATCAGGTTTTATTAATGTTACGATTGATAATCAACTCAATCTAATTCAACTTCCAATTACATTAGTTAATATATCTACTACTCAAGAGTCCTCGATGTAATTAATATGATATTGTAAAGTTATTGTTTTTTTTTGTTGCTTTTAATTTGACATATACTATAAAATAAAAAATATGTTGATTTTGTTTTTTTTTTTATAAAAAAAACTTTTCAATAAATCATAAAATTAATTAGTTATGAAAAATATATCCATTATTCAGCCCCCGTTGATATACAATTTTAGAAATGTATATACAGTAAAACCTCCCATAGTGGACACCTCTGTATAGTGGACACTTCGCGGTCCGACGGAGCGATTTTTGCTGGAATCGAACCTCTACATGGTGGACACCTCGATATAGTGGACACCTCCGTATAGTGGACACTTTTTCACGGTCCCGCGGAACGGTTTTTGCTGGTATTGAACCTCTTCATAGTGGACACTGCTTAAGAGTTTGAAGAAAAACAGTTTGACTTGATGGTCAACAATNTAAGAATAAATTTCAAGTACAAGCCACGCAGCGCTCTTGATGCATACCAAAAATAAATAAATAAAATACTTATGAGAAGACAAAATTTAGGAAACCGACACGAAGATAAATCGAGATAGATCGAATCTGACCACCGGAGTCTGACTCAGTCCGAGCCCGACCAAACTCGACCTTGGCTGACTGAGCTCTATCTCTAGGCCGACCAAGCCTGAGAGAGTCAGACTTCGACCGAGCCCAACCGAGCCCGAGCCCGAGCCCGAGTAGCTCGATCTGGGCTCGGGCTCGGTACATGCCTACTTAGAACATTCTGGAAGACACATATCCAACAAAAACTATGGTGTCTGTAAGTTCATCTTATATTTCTTGATATTTTAAACGATATTTGATCATTTTTATGTATTTATGACTAATGTTATTTAAGGAAATAAATAAGAATATCCGTTTAGGAATGTCTAATAAGATCACGAAAAAGAGTATAAATTATCTGTAATTATCTATGAAAAAATTAAATGAAACATCTAAAAAAGGTTTCAAAAAAAAACATTTATGTTTGACGAGACTTGAGTTGAACTGAATAACAAATATGAATGTCATCATCTACTTAGTTCAGCATAAGAGCGATATTTTTTGTCGCAGATTTTTACGAGACAATGGAATGATTTATAATATATTTCTTTGTTTAATTAACTTTCAATTGAAGTTGCTTCTTTTAGTGAGTAGGTCACAAAAATACGACCTTGCATACTAGAATTCCCCAGGCTGATCAAAGCGCTATAAAGAACGATATTAAATCTTCTCGCTGGAAAAGAATTTCTGAAGTTTTTTTTTACAAATAAAAGCTTGCAATAAATAAATAATTTAATTTTGTTGACTTTACTATGTGTGTCATCTTTTGAGCTAATTTTACGCACCACAGTGTCAATTTCATCTAGTAGTAATGTAGTAAACAAGATTTCTTAACCTGTATCTGTTGCAAAGTAGAAACAAAACAGTACATACAAATTCATTGTCAGAACTCTAATCATTAGACGGATGTGAGGAAAATTCAAGATGCTTTATATAAATTCCTTTTAGAATAATTATGTTCTTTTATTGTAAAGTAGACAGGACAAACTCACAACATATCATAATGAAAAAACATCGAGATAATATTAACAAGTCTTTTTAGTCGGAGTGCAGATTTGATAGAAATCTATATATATAACTAGTCGAGTATCAGCATTCCGACTGTGTTCGTGATCTGACGAAAAAGACGATGGAACGACTTAAGAATATTCAACCAAAGTTCACTTAATCCTATGAGCAAAATGAACGGGTAAAGAAGAACAATGAACAAGTAACCAAGCGGAGGCACATTGACTAAAATGTTCACAAGAACTGGATTTGCTACCGGTGAATTAAGTACAATGAGCATGAAAGTTACAATTAATATCCAGACCACAGTGTGCAGAACGCAAATAGACATAATTTGCCAAATTATGCGACGATTTCTTTTCCAAATATTTTGTTGTCTCATATGTTGCTTCTGATGGATGAAACGCCAGAGTAAAATAATCGAAATCAAAATAGTTCCAACAACTGGAGAGAAGAGATGTGCAAGTAGATCAAAGGTGCTCACTCGAGTATCGAATAAATAGCATGCACCACCACAAGTGTACCAGTTGTATTGAAAAGTATTTGTGCATGGATAGAAAAATATAACAATGACATAGAAAACAGTAGGATAGATTAAGCAAAAACCAATTGGAATGTTATGTAATAAAATGGTATGTTTATTAAAAAAATGATAATGAAAAACGAGCATATATCTTTCTATTGAACCGTAAAGCATCAACAACAAAATCACTACATTGAGAAGATAGTCTACAAATATCCACATTTGACAAAGGAAGTCTGATCGATAGAAAATGCCATTGTAAAGTAATGACAACATAAATGGTATATCTATAGTGGCCTACATGAAAAAAAAAAGTAGTCTTTCAAGGACTCATAGTGTGTATCTTAACTTTCACTTACTTGTAGAAAATTGGCAATGAGCAAAACCAAAGTAATGCGATTATGAATTTGTTGACGTAGTGTATGATTTATAGAAAATTGAATGAAAAGGTAGATTGAACAACTTAATGATGGAATAAGAAGAGAAAGGATAATAACGAATAGCTTCGGTTGTCGAATTTCGTCGAAGAAATCGAGTGATGTTGTAGAATTATTGCTCGTCATAAGAGTTGATGCTTTGCTATTAAGATCCGCCGAATATTTGAAATAGTTTTATATTAAGAAAGAAGAGTTTAACGGAAGGCTATTAATAGAAACCTGTTATATTCTGTTTTCGTTTCAGTTCTTATGACAACAGATAAATAAACTATGATATGAATAATTTTGCATAATAAACATTGGATTTAGTATGGATCGATCATTGATCTAAAGGAATCGGCAATAATTGGCCCAAGAGGAGCGTATAAAAAGATTGAAAGAGAACCGTAAAAATTCAGGAGATCACTCGGAAATGGTACTGCTTAGGTTGGAATTCTCTAAGATCCTATGCTTACATATCAAACGTGATGAATTCGGATACGTAGATGGGTTTAATAGATGTTTAAATATGTTGAAAGTTCTCTAGAATGAATTGAGAACAGAAATATCGAATCTGACTACTACTAACTTTTCGCTTGTTAAATACCATGAAACAGACATACCAAAGATCCCTATCACAATGTTTTCGTTTAATCTATAATAATATATACTTCTGAAAATTTTTCTGTGGAAATTAAAGTTTTTTTAAAAGTTAATTGCTATAGTTAGAAAAAAAGCTAACACAAGTTTTGAGAAATTTTACATACCTACGTATATATTAGTATATGTTCTAAAATACTTAACTGTTTGTTCGTCGCAAACATATCTTAGTATAACTTTTTGATAAAGTAAACCATTACAAAGTGGTATCGTATACAGATGAGATGTTTTACTTTTCTATGAAATAGCAGAATGAATCGATTCTGTGCTCAATATATTCTCGTCTAGACCATCATTTTTTACTATCGCGACTTTGTGAGCAACTTCTTTTTAGAGCGACATAATTATAGATTCACCTATATAATTTATAGAAGAGAGAAAAAGACAGGCTATGGCACATTGACGACAAAACGGTAGATAAAACGGAACGATGCATGACAGGTGTTTTTTTTAATTGATTCTTTATAACAGAGAATGTAGAATCTTAAACGTCAAATTTACTTATCATTTTTCGAATCATTCTTCATGATTGTTTTCGATACTCTTCCGTAACAGCTTGGAAATGTTAAAGCACAAAATACTATGGGTATCATTTTCTTGTTTCACTTACACTTTTACTTAGCTAAAGAACAATCAAAGAATCTGATCACAGTTGATGAAAAATAAACGCCGATTGAATAAGCAGACCTATCTACATTCATCCGATATTACAATGGAATTACAATTCTTTTATTTTTGTTATTTGGTATAATAAGTACTTATATTTTACTTGATTGATGTTTTAAAACATCGTGACGTTTTTCACAAGTAGTGAAATATTTATAAAATTCAATACTGAACGACGATTTAATATAGTAAATTAGATTTAGTTTGCAAAGATGGAGATCATGAAAGATCCTGAAGAACATTTCTTGTCAATTTTTGAATAATTGCAGTAATTGCAGATATTTTTGCCCAGTATAATTCAGAACTTTAGAAACTAAGACATTTTCTCTGCATTCGTCTTGGTCATCGAAGATAGATGAAGATGTAAGCCGGTGTATATAGAATTATTTCAAGCTTTTTGCATTCTTTTCTTGCGCAATAGGTAGGGATGCTATAATGCCAATTAACTTATGAAACGGATTCAGATTTCCTGGGTTCAGAACTCTTGAACAATTCGTAGCTAGACTTGTTATATTGCCAGTAATTAACGATAAATTTAAAAACTAATAAAAGAAATGAATTAAGAAAATAACAAGCAAAAAAAGTAGTATTGTTCGTACTTATAATCAGAGATGAGTAATTACCATGAAAAATCAATAAAGTAATAAGGAAGACATAAAGTAATATACATATAAATAACTTTTCAAGGTCTACCGAGGAATGGTCTCTATAACGTTCTTTGAGCTATCTGAGGGTTAGTTTATTACATTTTTCAAGAGCTACTAAAGGATAGTCTCAATAACTTGTATGACTATCTAGGGTGAATCCTATAAATCTTCTAGAATTACCTAGGAATAGTGCTTAGCCTAGACCATTTTGATGCAACTCGATCAAAAAAAAAATTTTAAGGCAGTTTCTTTTAACCATCAATATTAGTAAGAGAAGATCTGCACTCACCACTTAGTTCAGTTATATTAAGTATCAATGAATCATTTAAAACTTGAAATTAATTTTGGTTTTTTGTTTGACCCTTGAGTTAAAATTAGGTGACTGAGTGGTTAGTGTAAGACAAATATCATGTTATTTTGATATTTTCTTTATAGTAAAACTATGCTTCGAAAAATAATGATCGAGTGATTTCAGGATCGAGGAATCTGTTGTGTATGTGTAGATCTTCTCTTCCTCTACAGTACAATGCTCACATCCACAACTCACCCATATCCACACATTTTTATTTTTTTTAAGAATCGTGAAAAATTGCTATGAAAGCATATATCTTTGTTTTTTAATATTGTTTTTTTGCCATTGTTGTAGAGAATCAAAATTTACATGACATATATAAAATTGAGCGTGGTTTCATTTTTTTTTAAAATATAGCAGCAGATATACTGTCAAAAATTGACTATTTTGAACTCATAAATTGTGACTCCTCTCGCTCATGTTGAACTACAAAAATTCAGTAAGTAGATGATAAGTAATGATTTGAATAGCTCATTTTTTTCAGCTATTGATGTTCTATCTTTTTAGTATATTACACGAGAAAATTCTGTGTCTTGTTGAAACGTAATTCTAATAAACATTTATGGAGCGGTATTCAACTATTTTTTTTATAGTAAGCTGGTAGTGCTCAGAAGATGGTATTTGCTAACTTGACTATAGCGCATCTAAATGAGCTAAAAATTTGGGTTGAATGATTTTAGACTATGCTCTTTCGAACACACACAAAAAAAATCAAAATTTAAACTTTGATCAGTGCCTCCTATACTGAAGTGATCCTCAGTCCCTTATAAACGCTCTCTTAAAACTGATAACAGACGTGTAGAATCAACTCATAGTATATGTGAAGCACCATGAAATAATATATACAAGAAGAGTATTAGTAGGAAATAAAATAGGGCAATCGCATCCATGGAAATCGTTGAAAAATTTATTGTAAAATCTCTATTTGGGTGTGCGTGTGGATGCAGGTGCAGGTGTTGGTGTGAGCGTGGGAATACTCCTCTCTTCATCCATACTCACAACCACGCCCGCACCTGCACCCACACCCACATTCTTGCTGATCACTTCGCAATAAAAAAATTTGGTGATGTATCTTTTTTAGTGATTAAAAAGTATATTTTCCCAGAATATAGATATGTCCTGTTTTATGTACAGTGATATCTCCTAAGAGAGAACACGGATCGGGTTGTAAAGAAATAGTTTTTTCCTTGTTAAAATAGTACGAATGAAAATATGTTGTGATGACGATATATAGCTGGATAAGCCTCGAATTTTAGTGCACATTATATCATATATCATTAAATAGACTGAACATAATTTACAGTTTCTTATTATCGAAATCTTGTAGTTATTCGACTAAGAATCTCTATTATCCAAATAATGAGAGAAAAATATAGACATATATTTGTTCATTAGTTATTGAAACAAATTTTCAAATTATAATTGATAATTTTATTGTACCGAAAATGAAGAATATGTTCATCAGAAAAGGGTTCAAAATGGTAAATGATAATTATGATTTGTATTAGATTAGATGGTTTCTAGGACATATAATGAACTTTCCTCTTTTATTCGACTGGATAAGATATAAGAAAAGGCCAGTCATGTAAAAAGCGTATTTTGATTATCCTTGATGTAATCGAACATAATTATTATTATAGTTTGTCTGAAATAATTTTGTCCTGCTTAGATTTCTTGACAAGATTGGCTATAGTTTGATTTTCTTTTCAAAAGGATAATCTAAAATAATTCATGTGTTTGAAACAGGCTCTAATTAGATCCTCCACAGAGCGTGTTATATATATATACTCACAAAACTGAAAGTCTATTTGATTATTTCATCTAAGTGTTATAGATAATAGCAGGTAGAGTGCTTGCGGGACAATATGAAGGAAAAAGGCGATGTTCCGAATTTATTTAATCTATATCAGTATATCGTAGTAACGGTTATTGACATTTATACTTCACTTGTCTTCAATGTATAACATCTTCCTGAATGCTGACCTTGATAATCTATGCTTTTCTTTCGCTTCTTTTCTGTGATCGGTATATAAGGATGTTTTTGTAGTGATGAAGTCACTCAATAAATATCATTATCAAAAATAGTGATAGAGCTATTTCTTCAATTCGTTACAGTCATACACTTAGAATTTTTCTATTTTTAATATGTCAATTTTAAAATAACAATTATCTTAATGTACGTTTTTTTTTTCTATTGGTGATATAGAATGGACGTCTTATTGTCGTTCATAGAACACCATTATTATATTTCTTTCGGTCAATACAATTCAGATATCGAATAACAGATCATATATTATACTCGTACCTTACAGTTTGCTTCAATAATCCATCATCACGAGAGTTCGTCGGGTTAGTCTCGAATCTGATGGGATCTAATCGTCTGAGGAATGTGTACCGTACACTCATGAGTGAGTACAAAAATCAGGAAAAAAATGTCTTTCCTCTACACAACGACTTTTCTTTTTCGAATAGAAAATCAAAGAGCAATCAGATCGAGTCTAACATTGTTGGACTAGACGCATTATAATCATCATTGAAACTGATTATTTGATAATGAAATAATATTAATTTGAATATTTTGTTTTCTAGTGAGATAAAGCAAAGAATGAAGCATCTGCTTCATAATAGTAAGACAACGTTTAATTGCATTATAATATGTTTTTATTCATATATCGATTTCTTTTTAATCAAACCGAATAAATTTGATAGAGACAACAATACAAATTGAATAGTTTCAGTCTTTTCAAGAACTCTTTTTATTGAATATAAGCAAACAAAAAAATCATATTCGTTTGTTAATGCAAATTTTTTTTTCTTAATTAGTTAAGTCCAAAAAAAAGAAAACATTTCTCGTTGGATTTATTTCATGATAGAAAAAATATGACGTTCGTTAATTCATTTGAAAAATTGAATGTTGTATAAATTTTTCCCATGTTGAATAATTCAATTCTAATTGTTCACAATAAATTCCATATTGTAAACGTTTTTGTTCATAAATATTTATGGCTTTATCAATATTTTCTAATAAAATTTTTGGTAAATGACGATGAAGAATTAACTTTAAATCAAAAAAAAATTAATTAATTTAAATTAAAAAAGAAAACTCAGACAATATCCTACTCGAATTTGTTCACTATCAAATGGAACTAAGAATATATTTCTGTCGGATACGGGTACTTGTAATAATAATACAAGAAGAATAATACCCGTTGAAATCAAATGAATTATATCATGTTGTATATTTAATGCTGAAATAAAACGCTTCGATTTAGTTTTTTACTTGTTTTAAAAAAGACAGTTTTATCTTACCAAAAGAATTAAAACCTTGTTTATTTAAATATATTTTAAGTTCATCAAAATCTTTTATATTAAATGATAATAAATCAGCGAAATCTTGATTTAAATCAAATGCTCCATTTATTAATTGAATTCTTTTCAATTCATTAATCTTTGTTGAAGTTAAATCAATTGGTTTTAATTTATTAAATGTTGAAAAACCATTAAAAATTCCTGATTCACCAGTAAAACTAACTTTGGCATTTGTTGTTTCACCTTTAAGCTAAAAAACAAGATAAATATTGATTTATTTGATTTTTGTTTTAATTTTACAAACCATATATAATGAATCATTTGGTCGTCGATCATCAACACGTAAAGCACGAAAATCTGGATTACTTTCGACATATGCAAGATGCTGATAAATATCATTTTTATTAAGTGGATTTACTATCAATAGAAATTAATGAATGAGAGAACTAGTTCAACTTTAATTTGCTCTTTGAACTCATATTGGTTCAACAAGGAAGTTTCGATTTAAAAAAAAGTGTTTATAACTCATGAGCCAAGTTAGAGCTGTTTCATTCAGTTTTCGATATATTTACTTAAAAATTAAATAATGAAAAAATCTGTCTAGTGACTCTTCTTATATCTTAAAAGTTTCAGATGAAATGTTTTCTTCTTTGTCAAGATATTGAATTTTCAAGTAAAATTGACTTTTGTGAGAAATAATTATTTTTTTTAGGACGACTGAAACTTTCAAGATATGATAAGAATCATTAGACAGAGTTTCATTATTTGAATTTTTAGTCAATACATGGACAATTGAGTGAAGCGGCCATAACTCAGCTTATGAACACAAATCAATTTAAACTTTCGGATTGAGACATTCTTGTGAATGCAATATGAGCTCAAACCAGAGTTGACAAATGAGTTAATTCCCTTGTAGAAAAAATTTTAATTGAATCAAAAAATTCTTACAATTTTTGGGATCGATTGTTAATTTCGTTTTAGCTCCTGATCGTGATTCTTCAGCTTCAGTTTGTAACAAACCATTAGCATCAATATCCATACAAATTGATATTTCTAATGTCTGCGAAGCAAAATTTGGCGTTAAACCCGTAAGACTAAATTCACCAATACATATCTAAGACATAAAAAAAATTGATTTCATTTGATCATTTTCAAAAAAATTTAGAGTATTGAGCAAAAAATATAAAAAAGCAATTTATTGTTTTTCTTATGATATCAAACATTTAACTCATATCCAAATCATGCTTTGAATAGACAATGAAGCTCTCTAAAAAAACTAAATACAATAGTTTCAAGGTCTCATAAGATTTTATGAAAACTAGTTTTGAAAAGTACTATGGGAAAGGCCTCAAAATCCCGAGTAAAATAAGAGATTATTGCATCTTCTATGATCTGACCTTAATAAGCTTTAAGTATCACAAAAAATTTTCTATTAAAAGTGAGTTATAATGTTTCATTTTACTCGAGATTTTGTATTGTTTTAGGTAGTACTCTTCAAAACTAATGTTTACAATATTTTCTAAAACTTGAAAAGTACCGTTTTGGGTTTTTTAAAAACTTTCGTCTAATAATTCATCTATGAAATTTCAACATGGAATACATTTGATAAAGAGTTTTTTTAGTTATTCAAACCATTCTATAGACTTGAGTTAAATAGTTTAAATCATAAAAGTACGAAACGTTGTTCTTATACTTTTATACACTACTGCCAATTAAACTAACATTATATTTTGTAAGTTTATGTTCACCACGAAAAACACGAATTGTAGCTGTTGTTTGATAGGCGTAAGCATTTGTAAATACAGGATAAAATTTTGTTCGAAGTGGAATTGTTTGGTTACGAGTGATAATTATACACATATGACCATTAATATCTTCAATGCCTAAACTGAGTGGTGTAACATCAAGTAATAATAGATCTTGTACACCAGTTTTGTTGCATGTCTTTGCATTCAGTATTTCACTAAAATAGAGTCAAGTTTTTATGTTAGTTGCTACAATGAATAACTATTATTTCAAATTCATACGCATATTGTCTTCTGAATTCTGCTTTAATAGGAGAATTTGGCATCCTCTCTTGTTCATCGCATCGTGTCTACAATAAGCAATAATTTATGCAGATCATATAAGTGTAATTCAATCAGTACGTACATCAGTAAGCCGCATATTTTGCAATGCAGGTTTATAATGGCTATGTAAAGATGTTGAAACTGGTGCTGCTGTGTACCGTCCACGTCGGGGAATAGTTACGAGATTTGCCATTTTTTTCTTTGATAAACTGAAGAAATTAGCTATACTGCTCAAGTTTTCTGATCGTTCATGATCTTCTTCATGATCACTAGATGCACTTTCATCAATACATGAGAGCAATGCTTCTGATTTAGTTTGGATTTTATCAACATCTGGTAATGTTTGTATCGAACTTTGTTGAACAGCACCAGTTAAAGATGCTGACTTAAATAGAGTGTTAGATGACAGATGTGTAGATTCTTCAAATGTTTGGCTAAAACTACTCGGCGAGATGAATCCTGATGAAACAGGTAGAGTCTGAGAAGTTGCAAGCATCGGTTGACTGAAAGCCATTAGAGGCTCAGCATTAATAGTAGTACTACTAGAAGGTGCATTAAATGAAAACAGCGGCTGTGGTTGTAAGGATGTACTGGCAAGCAAAGCTGTTGTTGCTCTTATTGTTGGTACTGAAGGAGTTGGTAAAATCGGATTAATCATCCTTGCATCTTGCATGCTAGACAGTTGTTGCATAGGAAAAGCATTAATTTTGTTGCTAATGGTATTGTTTTGAAAAAAATCTGAATCCGGAGGAGGAGGAGGAGGCGGTGGTTGAGACACAGCAGGAAACATTGTTGAACCATCAAATGTTGTGGACCCGAAAGAAGCGTTATTATTGTTGCTAACGTTACTTCCAAATAAACCAAACGAAGATATTGTCGGAGCAAGTGATAGTAATGGTGGTTGAGGTGCACCAAAAGAAAACTTTGCTGAACTATCATATCCTGTGAACCCGAAAGTGGCGTTACTATTGTTGTTAACGTTATTGGTAAATGAGCCAAATGAAAATGGTCCTGCAGGATGAGGTGGTGGTAAAACAGTACCGGTCGTAGGAGCAGCAAGAGTGTGATGTGCTGTTGGACGATAAAGTTCTGAGGACATAGAATGATAAGGGTCATTCAGAGACTCAAAAATGTTTTGAGACGAAAATGCTGATGTTCTAGGAGAAGTAATGCTGAAGGGACCCATTTGTTCAGTTACAGGTGAGTTCAAAACATTATGTAACATGCAAAGTGGGGATATTGAAACAGATCTATCTGATTCAACAAGAAGTTCTTGTTGATTTGAGGCCATATTTATATCATATTGTATTTGTTGCTCTTGTGGTAAAGGAGAAAAATCGCCCAATGTCGATTGTTTTTGTTCTTGTGATCGGCTAACGAGAGAAGAGTTCAGCGTTGTAAATTTACTAGATGTTTCTGAAAAAGATAGATCACGAATCATATCAAATCATCTACAAGTTAACTCTCTGGTGCCGATATTTTTTTTTTGGAAAAGCTAAATTTTTTTATATAAGTAAAAATAGACGTTAAGTCAATCGATTATGGATATCTTAATGTCGCATTCCTCACATTGATATCTTATATATATGATTGATCTTTCACGTCTTGTTTTACGAGAGCGTACATGGCATCTCCTTTGGGTAGGTTTTTTAACGCAGTTGAGAGTAAAAGTTTAATAAGAAAAGAACGAAAAGTGTAGACTAAGGAAGAGAACATGAATATACTCATATATATATATAGGAGAATAGGAAAAATGTCAAGGTAGACCTATTTGAATGTATGATAACACAAGGAGAAAATCCATGATGTAATGTTGGAAAATACGAAATGTACTGTGCGTAGATATTTCCGACACTTTGGAAATACTAATAATTTTTTTGTATCAACAAAGGAAAATTACTCTACAGACGATTTCCATTCCATTTTGATTCATTTGGTATATATACTACGCCCAGCACCAAAGAAATAGGAGTCTAGTCAAAATATCTGCTGAAGATGATCAACATAGAAATTGATCGACAATTATTTTATGTGAACATAACTCGAATGACTAGGTTTTTCCACTTTTTTAATCATGTCCGTGAAAATATTGAGATGTATTCGAAAAGTTGTCTGTCGAATTTTTAACTCTTTGTATCTTTAAAAACTGTTGAGGCTTCTGTATCTAAATAGAAAAAAATCTTTCTGAAAATTCTTACCTTTTACGGGTGCAATTACAGCACATATGCCATCCATGTCAGCAAAACTCAAACTTTTGTGGAATGCCATTTGCGAAGTGGTTTGTGCTAAATTTGAAGGCATTACCTTTCCGATTGAACATTCCGTCACTTCTGGAATCATTTGTGATGACTTTCTGAGATTAGTGCGAGCATATATCGTAGGTTTATAAAGAATAGATTCATCATCATCGGCTTTTTTCTCTTTTGCATCAGATAACAATACAGGAGCATGTGCCATTGAAGAATTAGTAGGTATACACAACAATGGGGTGATTTCTGACAAATCTTCTTCATTATCGATGAGCATACCAAAATTCATGTCATCCACATCTTTTTCGATTTCTAAATTTTTTTCTTCTTTAGTTGCATTGAAGTCTACTAAACATTCATCATCTTCTAAGAAAACATATGAAACATGCAAGTATTTTAAGTTATATTTAGATTAAAATCAATTTATCTAATAGACGGCACCTACGGTATAAGATATGGTTGTCTACTTCATACGATTTGAAGTTAGATTGTAAAATTTCTCCTACCATCTCCTACAGATAATTTAAAAAATGTCCTATGCATTCTATAAAATCAACTTACAAAGTCGTCATAGAGAGGATAATACGCATTCTCTTCGTCTTCTTTCTTTTCCCCTTCCCACTCATCATTATCATACAATGAATTGCTGTAATATCCTTCACAAATCGTACTTTGATGCTTTGAATCCTCTCTAAAAAGAAAGAATAACAAATATAAGTTGTTTTTATCATTTTCGGCTTACAATTTTTCCATCTCAATACGTATACTAATTTCATTCAATCGTTCTTCTAATATTTTTCTTTCATCAACTGTTGCTTTACTTATTTCATTAATTAAATCTATTAATACTCATTAAGTACAAATAAATCATGTTTTTATTTAAAAATAAAAATCTCATATTTACCTTCAACCATTTTTTCTTCTAATTTTCGAGCTTTGTTATTTTCTTTTAATGTTATTCGATATGTATCAATTATTGTTAACATTAAATCATATTTTGCATCACTACCTGAACGATATGATATCTTTTGACAAAGATTTTCATACTCATTCACTAAATCAATTTTATTTGTTATCGATGCATTATCAAATAAAAGTTTAGCATTAATTAATTTATCTTTAATTATATCAATTTGTGATTTATCACCATCCCAACCAATATATGGAAGTAGATCAATATCATTTTCAAGTATAACATCAAGTAATCGAACACCATGTTCAAATTCTTGTCCATCACGTTCTTCAATAGCTACAAAACTTGTAAATGAACTTACAACAGAATATTTTATACTAAGTTCAATTAAATCTTGTTTATATTGTTTTTTAATAAGTGTATTTTCACATTCATCATTATGTAATAAACCATTTTCATAATCTTGAATAATAGCACGTGCTGTTAAACAATGTAAAATACGTCCTTTTGTTTCAGTTATTTTATTACTAAATACATTTGTAACATATTCTTGATTATTTATTGTTGCTGTTAATGTTGCTTTATAGCAATTTTGTACAAAACGATATACAGTTAAATGCATACCATTAAATAATGATCGTATTGTTTTTGGTGCTTGATTAGTAAATTTTTCTTGTTGATGATCAATAGTACCATGCCAATCAATAGATATATTGGTTACACATGGTTGATGAATATGTTCAAGTATTTGAATTACTTTTGTTTTCCATCTTGAACGATAATTTGAATCGAATATAGTTATTAAACCACCACCATTTATTCCATTAGATAATTGTCTTAAATTATGTTTATTAGATGAATCACCAATTGAACATGTAAATAAACGATCATGGCGCATTGATGATTGATTTTCTAATAATATTAATATAGATTTAAGATCATTTATATGTCCATCAGAAAGAAGAATAAATTGTCGACCAAGTTTAGATGATGATGGTAAAAGTGAATATTGACGAAGTACAGAAAATAGATCAGTATTACCACGATGATCAAGTGAATACTATAATAGATATGGTATAATGTATATATATGCAAGAAAAGATGATATTAAAAAAAACAAGAACACAAACCAAAACAAAATGTTTAGCTTTGTCAATATTTTCTTTTGTATTTGGTGATGAAATAGGAAAACATTCATCGTTATCTAAAATAAATAAATGAATAAAATATTTTAAAAAAATACATATTTCTTGATTTACCTGATCCAAATGTAACAATATTAAATAAAATATTTTTATTATCAGTTTTCATATTTGTCAAAAATAAATGTGCTAATTGTTTTGCTTGTTGTACATGTTTTCCATCCATTGAATTTGATACATCAATGATAAAAACAATTTCGACATGTTCATTTGGATTATTAACTATTTCAAATTTTGGATAAAATGTTAACATACATGCTTGAGAATTTTCATCCACTAATTGATTACTTGTATTTGTATCAGATAAAGCATATGTTTCATTTACCATTCGTGGTAAATTAATACTTTTTAATGTTATGGAAAGAATAAAATCTTTTTCGAGTAAAACATTATCAACAAGTTCAATCATAGCAAGACAATCAGTTACTTTTCTACGAAGTCGATGTGTTGGAGAAAATAATTTTGTTATTTCATATGGCATGCGTATGGATGCTTTAAGACTAAATTCAACTGATTTCATTGAAGAGTTATTTTGTTCAAGATTAATTGATGGAAGTATCGTTTGATCTTTCATTTCTAAAACTTGTTTTGATTGCCATGAAGCTACTTTGGCTGGTAAACGAAATATAATATCATTATTTTCAAAAGATAATTCAGCAACATATGTTATTTTAATAATCACTTCACAATTAGCTGGTAAATTACCAACAGATACACTAAATACTTCAGGTTGTTCTTGATGCATTAAATATGCGCCATGACCTTTTTCAATAGCTTCACGATATTCACGTTTAGCTTGTTCTTTTTCTTTAACAACACCTTTAATTATTTTATTATTAATATGAGCTTCAAAACCACAAACAGAAGAATTTTCATCAAGAGGAAATACATATTTAGCTTCAATAGGAATCGAACTTGTATTATGATAAACTTGATAAAGAACAACCTAAAATAATGTATAAAGGATTTCATTTCTTTTCTCAGGAAAGAAAGTTTTTTTTATTTACTTCAGCAGTAACATCAATAAGTTGAGCACGAATATGAAAAGCTTTAAGCGGCACAAGTTGACCTGATGATGAACAAATTAAACCATAATCTTGTTCTACTACTTGAATTACTTCATCTTCGATTGTTGAAGGAATATCCACTAAAACAAATAAATATACATGTATAACGACTGTTATACCGACTGAAATATTAAGTTTAATTTATTTTCTTTTATAACTTCGTATTCTTCTTAAATTTTACAATTCAGTTTTTTATTGTTCTTGGGAGAATAAAATTTATTGAATCGATCTTGAGCAGCAAATACGCAACAGGAAAATAATTATATGATTACAAGTGATCATATTTTTTGTTGATCTGTCAGAGATTATTAGGATTCATTCCACAATTCTGAAGCATAATAAAATCTTCTCCTTTCTATATTTCTAAAGATTAGTCAAGCGGAAATGGTTCTCCGACAGCCTCTAATAAGAGATTTTTCTCGCCACATGTTAATATCTCGGTAAATAAATATTGACAATGTCTCAAAATTTGACTCTTTATATAAAACAACGTGCTCTACAAGATAGATTAAATTTCACATGAATATAAAACTCTTATTGCTCACCTCTCTATGGCGATAGGCCATGCTTCTCGAGCAATGATTTCTAAAGTTTATCAAGACCTCGCTTAGTTTCAATTTCCATATCACACAAGAATAAGATTATATCAAGCATGACCTCTTTAAATAGATCTTAAGGATATAACATAATAAATAGAAAATTCATAAATAGAATTCATATTCGATTTGATCGATTCGGAATTCATATGAGTTCTATGAGTAAAGTTCAACGATCCTACAAATTATTCGTAACCGCAGTTCGAATTACTAGAAATCAGAGAAAAGCATTCTGGATTCGATTTCGCAAATATATCGTGGAACCGAAACCATGAAAATCATCAAATAGAGACTAAAACTTAAATATATTGTGACAAAGTTTCTCTATCGAATCGTTCGTACTAAAGACGTCACATATTCCAGCATTTAAAAAAACAATATTATACAGTTATACTGAAATCTTTCATCGCAAAAATGAAGATTTCTCCACATGGATTTAGAAACATTTGTTTCTATCTGATGGTTTAACAGATTCGGTTCCAGTTTTTGAAACCACCGAACTCCACTTGGGAAGACGATAAACATCTATCTAGTAGCCAAAATATTACGATTACAATTAATTAAAGAGAACTAGAGCTATATGTCAATACTAGTACAGAAATTATCTGTGATTTGGTTCGAAAAAAAAACTGATTACCTTCATCTGGCAATGATTTTGATTGATTTACTAAAGGATCACGAGTAATAGGTAATAATGTTGGTGGTCGTCCCAACTTATCATATGGTATCCATGAAAGTTCAATAATATAGAGTAATCGTTGTTGATCAAGATTATAAATAGCATATTCATCATCCTAAATAAATATAATCATAGAAATCTAATTGAAAAACTTATTTATTCTCACAATAAATTTTGAATTATTTTCATCGTTTTTCTTTACACCATGTGTACTATGAAAATTCTCAGGTGGTTGAATTAAATTTGGTGCATATGAATAGAATTTTGCTGAGTCTCCTAATGCTACTTGAGATATACATAATAATCGCCGATCAGGACGTGTTATACTTGGTGTTGTATATTTTAATGATGTTGAAGCTGAATCGGAAAAATAAAGTCCGTATCCTAAACATCCAATATCAGTACGTAAAACTCCTAAATCATCAACAACCATTTTTGGCATAAGAAGACCACTAAAACAACAAAAAAGTTCAAATAGAAAAGATTTTTCTTTTGTTATTGTTCGATTAATTTACCGTGATAAAATACCAAGAAAATTATTATATTTTGATCCATGAAACAGTTGTTTTTGATTAAAAAGTGTTGAACGAAAATTAAGTACATCTGTTTGTTTAGCTACACTATATATTTGATGAATAATTACTAGTTCATTTCTATAAAAAAAAAAAACAATTAAAAATTGTCATTTTATTTTGATAATTGAAAAAAATACAAACGGATTCGTTGATGAAGAAATCATATTACTAATTGT